TTAGATTCAATATTTAAAGAAATTGCTAAACTCTTTCCAAAGTGGCTGCGCCATTTTATATTTCCACCATCAATGTCTGTCTGAGGGTTCTGCATGAATCTCTAGATTCATTTTATGTGGGGCATATTAGAGAATTTGAGATCCACCTTTGGGCTGTGTTAAGGAAACTATTTGAAATGCTGTTCTGTGACTATTGTGACTACTTACACAGTAGCAAAAGAGAAGCTGGTCAACATCAATTTCCACATTGGCTGCACATAATAATCTGGGGACCTTTCCTAGTGACAGTCAAGCTACAGTTCAGGTAATGAAAACAGTGACTTTGTGGGCTTGGGTGAACAGCACCTGGCTTTTAAAACCCTCAGGTGATGTCAATAAATCAGCTGATAAACTCTGATGAAAAAAAAAAAAAAAAAAAAAAAAAAAAAAAAAAACCTCTTTTGCTGTTTGCTGTTGAGCTACCCACTGAGATAATGAGCTGCACAGTTAGCCATGACTAGATACACAGTCTACAGGACACATTGAATTGGACTGGGAACATTTTACGACCACAGAAGGAACAAAGGATGGACTGACAGGCCAATAGTGGCTTATACAACTTCCTTTATATAATTTTCCTACTCTTATTTCAACCATTTGGCCATGAAGTGGAGGATGACTCATAACAGAAGGGGTGTGGGATGGAGACTAATGCCAAATCCCCGCTTGCTTCTGACACTTGAGGTCTTTGAAAGTCAGTAGATAGTCAGAAAAGCAGGGGCGGGAGTGACTGATGGGTGGCATCTGTCAGGGGGGAGGATCCAGACCCAGGTAGAAACATCCTGCTTTCATTCTTGCAATGAATGGTCTTTTCCTTGCTTCGCACTCAACACAGCCTCCTGCTTTTGAGTGACAAACAGCTCGGGTTAACTGGTCTTCCAGGGATGTACTTTCTCCCACTCCTGTTAGCTGCATTCAGAGTTTCTGGATGATGTGTCCATCTTTAGTCCTCTTGTTGATGTTATACTTCCCTAGCGATTTGCACTGCATCCGACTTCTTAAACCCTTAATCTGAGGAGTCCTTGACATTTGTGACCACTCCTCACATTCCTTTGTTTCTTTACTAATACTAAATAAGCTTAGCATATACTCCTCAGGCCCAGGCATAGACTGGCCTCTGTATCTAGGCAGCTGGCCTTGCTGTGGCCAGCTTTGTCCCCTTGCTTTTCTATGGCTTTTCCTTGCCTTCCACCTTTCAGCTCACACTGCTTTCCCTTCTGAGGCCTTTCCTAAGTGTGGACTTGTATCCATCCAGGTGTTCATCTGATTATGCTTGTCTTCAGGCACTAGGCTCCAGCCCCTGGGGAGCAGCACTCACACCTGGTTTTGCTTGTGTTTCTTCCTGACTTTCTGACGGATTTTTTTTTGTTGTTGTTGTTGTCAAGACCCACAGGATTGAAGTGGAAAGGCATATTAGATTAGACTCACTTGCCCCATTGTTACCTCCCTGAGGAAACAGGCATAGTCAGGGGGATGGTCAGAGGAAGGGTTCATGCAGGGTCACATAGCTGGCTGGATGGTGAAGTTGGAATACTAACCCTTACTTCTCTCTGAGCCACTGATCTTTCCCCCCTCACTGAATCACTGTTTAGTACAGATACTGCACTAATAATCTCTGCTTTTCCCTCCCCTTCTTCTAAGTGAATCATAAACGCTGTAGGTAGTTTTTAAACAACTTTTGTGTGTGTTCTATTTAATAACAAACATCAAACAATTGGTGACAGACAAAAATAGTATCTTTGAAGAGAGGGGTTGAAGCCATTTTAAGGACTCCCTTGCCTTATCATCACACACATCAACCTGACAAAAATGGCCAGTGGATTCCAGGGCAACTCCTCTCCTGATCCTCCCAGGCTGAAACCCAATCAAGTGAAACACTGCAAAAGGCTCACACACCTCATGCTTCCTTTCTGGAACTGTGAACTCACTAGGGAGAGATGCTGTCCCATTTCCTTCTTGCAGCAGGCGATCATTTTCTGCACCATCAGGTCATCGTTTTGAGTATCGAAACCGATTTGGATATTATCCCTAGGCTGCTTTCTTTAGCAGGTTTCCTTTGGCGCAGTATAAAGCACGGAGCGCCTTCTGGTGGTCACAGGTAGGAACGTTTCTAGCGGGAGCAATTCATTCCGTGGATGAGAATCCCTGAGTTCCCTGGATTCCCCTCATCTCAAAAGTCTTTAAAACCACCTGGACACGATAGTTTATATCGCTTTGTAACTACCAAAACTTTCTGATGTCATGGTTACGGCTTTACAACCCCTGTTGCCACAGAACGGTGACATGATGTAGAGTGCAGCTGTGGTTTGTTATTCTGGCACACCGTGAAGAGAAAGAAAGGGTCTGAGAGAGCAGCCATCATGCCTTCTGGGAGAGGAATACTGAGCTCTATTTGACTTCTCCAGTTCTCTTTTATAACGTGTTATCTAAATAACTGACATGGCAAGGCAGTTCTCTTGGGTGTAGTGCTTGGAGCAGAATACTGTGACTAAGGGACAGGTGATGGCATATGTGGTTAATTGCTAAGCTTGAGCTGTTTGCACAGCTATACATACAGCTTGGAGACAGAAGAATGAAGGGGATGACACATAGTGTGTGTGTGTGTGTGTGTGTGTGTGTGTGTGTGTGTGTGTGTGTTCAAACTCACTCATTCATCAGGCAGCCATACTAAGAAACACAAATTGACTGTGGTTGAGGTGGGAGGAGATCTGAGCTGGAAAGGACTGGCCATCACTGACTGGGCACCAGCAATCAGGCTTTTCTTTTCTTTTCTTTTTTTTAAAGAAAGGACACATAATTTCTCCTTTCCTTAAAAGATGGGTACTATCTCTTTTTGCTTAGTCCCTAACATTCCATTAAAAAGTCTGGATTATGCTGTCTTATTAATTCTTATGTTTAGTTTTGTGACATCATAGGCCTTTGAAAAATAAAATGAATAAGTCAAAACATCTTCAAAACCTTTGGAAATACAGGTTTGAAGACATTAAAACTCACACTGTCTGGACTGTCTAATAGCCTCTTTTCTGGTGGCAATCTTGTTAAATTGTCCTGCTCTGTGCCCAGATCATCATCAGCTCATTATACCTGTTACACCTGGACATACACACTCCACTAAGGACAAGATCGAGTACAAAAGAGAGAGGGATGCTTAAAACCACATCTAATACAAAACCGGTGGTAATCTACAGAAGTGACTTCTTCATACACGGAGACCTGTGGCATCTATAATTATGGAAGAGCAGAAATTACATTTATTTGTAGAGTAAAACATTTATTTGACCCTGAAAACCCTGAAGTACCTTTTGTCTTTGTGCTTTATGATGTCTAGGCAGGCCTGTCTTATTTTTTGTAATTCTAGTAGACAGGCTTGTTTGTGGAGAGTAAATGTGAAAACATGAGAGAGAGAGACCTCATTTGGGGATCACTTTAAAATAAGCTTTACCTGTATGCATTGAAGATTCCATGTGACAAATCCTACTGCACTCCCTTGGCAAAATACTGAGGATTTCAGCCAGGCTGAAATGGTGGATAAAAAGGTTCACTACTTCAGTTTCACAGCAAAAAAACAGAGGCAAAACCCCAAAAGGCATTTGGATATCTTTCAGTCCTATACCCTGCATTAATGAGCTTACTTCTCACACAGCAGAACATAAACATTGCTTGTGTGTTTATTTGCACATAACACCTATAAGCATATAGCTTCAATACTTTATGTATATTTACAAATTCAACAGAGTATCTACATATGAAAAGCTTTACTTAAAATTAAACTTGATGCAAGTTATGAGAAACCAATTTATTGGCAAATGAAATTGAGCATTCTTTCAACCATAGGTTGTCATAGAATTTTATATTGGAGGTAAGCCATTCCATACACATTGTTTATGACCAATATAGGATGAATATATATATATATATATATATATATATATATATATATATATTCTTTAGACTGCAGGTATAATCCCTTTGACTGTTGGCCTAATTAAGCACTTACCAGATTTTGCCTCTTGCAATTTGTATACGAATTGTTGAATGCTGCAGCTTGAAAGCTCATATAGGTACTCATATCAGTATCTGCATGCTGCCCTCTGCTCTTAGTACTACAATCATTTGTTTTTCCATCCATTTCTAACCACAGCATTTTCCTTTTTCAACATAACTTGTTTGGCTAGAAACCACAAAAGACCACTAAACCATCATGTGTTCCAGCTGATGACAAAGCTTCCCTTCCTTTTGATATTTATGGGGGAGAGCCCCTTCAAATAAACTTGCTTTTATTTTCACAAATTTTCAGCATTTCAGTCCCATTATCACAGCCTTTTAACAGTTACTTTCTAACAACAGCAGTAACAGAGGGTGGAGTGGCCCAGACTGGCTGATACCCAGTGCAGGAGTCAGGGGATACTCATTGTCCGAAGGCACTGCATATGTCTTGCCCTGCATTTTCCAGATAAAATTTGAAATCTAACTTCAGAGTTTTGTCTTCCGTTCTTTGAGTATGGCACAAAGGCCAGAAGGTGTCACAAAACGCAATATCTATGCCTCCAAACAACTGAACACAGAGATACCATAAGAAGTGGAACACTGCTGCTGTAACCTGGAGGGTTAAGAAGCCTAGGAAGTAACAGGAGCAAAGAACAGGTGACAGTCTCGGTGAGCATTAGCAGATGCACCTGTCGTAATTAACTCTTGTTGCAAGTATATACTGTACATACTGTTCCTAACAGTCTCCTGAAAAGACTAACAACAGCTAGACATAGTCACCAGTTTCACAACAATGTCTACAGAGACGCTGGAGCCCTAGAGAACACTACGGTAACACTCCCCACAATAACAACGGAATTCAGATTTAGGGTTCAGCTGAGGATAGTGTCAACAAAGTACCTGACCATGGCGCAATCACATACACAGGTGTGTACTCTGTGCAGCATGTTTCATGCATCTTATTGAACTGTATCCCACACAGGGAATAATGTGACCTATCGATGATGTTGAACTCTTTTTTAATCAGTTCCAAGGAAATTGAGAAAACCCACTCCGAACAAAAAAGTACACACTTTGCACCCCAGTTCCTATCAGCATATTGTTTGACTGAGTTATGTTCTTGCTTTGTTCTCATAATACTCACATACAGCTGAAAACATCCTTTCTACCCATATGTCCATGGAGTGAGAGGGATGAGAGGTGCTCAGAAAAAACTTTCCAGAGAAATGGGACGTTGATGCAGAGCTTAACAACTTAAACAAAGGAGTTCATGGCGTTGACAGGTGAAGGTGCTTCGGAGCTCTCATTTCCTTCAGCTGGTTCTTTCTCCTTCTTACCACTGTATTGTCCAATAAAGGAGCCATCCTCATTGAATTGGCCATTCACCCCCTCTCCATAGTCAACCAGGCTATCATCACTATCTTCTTTTTTCACAGTCCTGTCTGAAGGTGTTCGGCTTCCTTTTTTCAAAGGCTTGTGATCTTCTGCATCGCTGGAAAAAAAAAAAAAAAAAAAAAAAGGAAACACTTTGGTAAGACTAGCATTTAGCTAAAGTGTCTTGTTTCTACAGACCGTGCATGCAAATTATGAAAAAGCACATGGAGCCCTGAGCTGCTAAGGCCAAATCTAACTGCAAGTAGATTCCAGTGCCTAGGGTGGAGCTGGAATGGAATCAGGCACAGAAATGGTTAAATCATGGTCTGTAGCAAAGTGTATGGCTTTCTATTGTGAGTGCTAATTTAAATGAGAGATTCTGAAGCCCAATTGGAAGGCAACCCAGGAACAATCACAAGCATTAAAAGGTGGAGGATTGAGGATAGCTAAAAATCATCACTGTTCGATTCAAAGGAGCAGGACAGAGCTCAGGACAGTAGCAAGTTAGTGTGTTAAACTGTGGAACATCTCTGATCCCTTGGATGTGAATGGAGCATGATTTTAGTTACATGTGAAGTATGCATTGTTTTTCCTGAACCAGAAGGAGAAGCAAAATCCTGCAGTTCAAATAATTTTGTTATTGAGTGCAGGCCAGATTTGTGAACTTCTGCCTTACCTTTCAAAAGACCTAGAAATCCATTAAAAGGAGGCAGGGGAAACAAATGAGAACAGCCTAAGAAGAAAAGCACAACCCTTATACGAATAGGTCACAATTTTTTTTTTTCGGAAGAATTTTGGTCAATGGGTAAAGCTTTATTAATTTGGAAAGACAAACACTTTAAATTAAAAGCACTATATGTGAGCCATAGATATCATGCTCCCAACCCATAAGATGCGGTGAGTGCTTCCAAACTCACAAAAACAACTATGTTCTGTTTCCTGCTTAACTGGATTCTCACCTCTCCTCTGGGCTATGCACACACTGAGGGGGTCCAAGGCTTGCACTTCAACAGAAGCATTATGGGAGTCTATTAATGTTTTGCCTATTTCTTTGTTGAACCCTCAAACATGACTTCTAAAAGCAAAAGAGTATTCATATGTGACACTAACATGGCCACATATGTAACTGAATTTAAGATCATCTACTACATGGTCATATGTATAAGTACAGTGACTGACTCATTAATAGGTAACACTTGGGGAAAAATTAGAAAAAAAAATAAGAATGATACACAACACTTGAACTAAAAGCCCTGATACTTGATGTTACCCAGCCATCACTGTAACTAGTGTTTTAAGAAAGAATGGTGCTAAGATCATAATTAGCAAGATTGATGTTTTTTTCTAGTCAAGCTACAAAGACTTTAAGGTAAACACATCTGTCTCTTTTGGTGATACTTCCTGCTAGCAATCTCTTACTTTTCTCTCTAAGAAGAATGCATCAAAATTTTCATGTGCTAGCAAAAGAAACCCATAAAGATAATATACAAGTACATGTTGCCATCTAAATAATCTATACAACTTGGTGACATCAGAGATCATTGGGATGTCCTGTTGATGGGGACATTTCAAAAGACACAACACCCACAAAATCCAACTTAAAAAAACAGCTTACAGGTCTTTGAGATTTAGCTGTGAACATCTGTACTTTGCTTGAATACCCTGAAGAGTTCAATGATAAGCAGACTTTTGCCACCTGGGTTCCATCTATTATTCTACTTAGTAGAACTAACAAGGCAAGAAATACATTATAGGACATGTTCATGATATCATGTTTTTGATCAAGTCTTGCCTCCATCCAATGTGTACTAAGTACCTACTCTAAAGCTGATGTCATTTTAGGCACTTGGGACATAGGAACAAGGAACTGAGACTAAAATGCTCGCTTGCATCCAGTGGGGGTAAAATGCAGTTAGCAACCATGTGGGTAAAGAAAATTAATTATGTCAGGTGACCAGTATTGCAGAGAATCTGATATCTGAGAAAACATGACAGAAGGAGCTAAGAAAGGGGAGGGAGAGTTAACATAGGATATCCCAGGAAGGTCTTGTTTAAAGGTACCATCTGGTCAAGGACCTAAGAGCTAGCCCTGTGGATGACTAGAGCAAGAGCAATTATGGCAAATGCCATAGCAGCACAAATGATTTGTGGCAGGGAAGACCTGACATGTTCTAGAAACAGCAAGGTGCTTACTGTGGCTGGAATTGAATGAGTATGTAAGGAAGAGAGTAGTTGGAGGTGGCAGGGGTAGGCCATGGATACATAGACATTGATGAGCCTCTATTTAAGAGATGGAGGCCCCTGGGGATGGGAGGTACATTCCCATGGGTGAGCATGGTGTTCTGACCTATATTGCTTTAAAAACACAAATCTGCCATCAAGTGTTGACATTAACCTGCCTTTGAGAGGAGGAGTTGGTAAACTGTAGTAAACTTGAGCCACGCCCATTTGTGATCTATTTATTGCCCATGGTCCTTTTACTGCTACATCAGCAGAACTGCTGAGTTCCAGCTGAGACTATGTGGGTTGTAAAATCTAAAACGTTTACCCAGTGCTCTTCAGAAGTGTGAGTCTGCAAAACTTGGCAGTGGAGTTGGGTGATTACTTCTGTCATTCAAGAGAGATATGGCTGTAGTTTGGACCAGGGTGGAATGTTGAAGATGTTTATACCAAATGCTCATGAACATAGACAAGGAGACCTGAACTCATAACCAGCCAAATGTAGCCAATCACTGAAGAGATAAAATATCATAACATATCAAGTTGGGTCAAGTTTAGGAATGAAAGTTTGATTTAGTATGAAAATACAATTTGTGAAATTTATCATTTGTACTCTTGTAGAAAGAAAAAAACTGTGATCATCACAGTAGTTTTAGGGGAAAAAAGTATAAGACAGAGTTCATAACCCATTCATGAATAAAACTTTAGTATGCTAGAAAGGGGAAGTGTTTCTATTATTCTGGTTAGGATGCCTACATGAAAACTACAGTGAACCAGTGAACGGAATCCTTCATGGCAAGTGCTGAACTGTTCTGTTTAGAATCAGAAATAATAGCAAGCATGGCTGTTGTCTCCTCTTCCTTTTTCTCATCCTCTCCTTCCTCTTCCTTTTCTATGGAAACAGAATCTAGGATGGTCTAACACTCTCAACCTTTCTATGTAGCTAAAGATAACCTTGAACTCATCTTTCTGCGTTTGCTGCCCAAGTGTTAGAAATGTAGACATGAGCTACCTCACTTGGCTGATTTCTGCACTCCTAATGAAAACTACCCAGGAGTATCAAGCAATGTGATGAGAAAAAGAAATGACACTTTTCGCACACCTATCAAATTGATGGTAGTTCTCTGTATTCCTTACTAGATTATAAACTCCCAGTGAGGGACCAAATTTTATTGTGTTCAATTTCCCCAAGGTTTGGCATACAGTACACACTCAATAAACATCCATTGGGTAAATTCTTGATAAAATTAAAATATATGAGTCCATGAATATTTCAAAAGTGCTTTAGAATTCTAACATTACATTTTTCATTCCTTCTTAATGTTATAATAGCAGACAAAGCATTGCTTTGTATTATTCTTACTTTAGTACTGAGAATGCATTTTAGGGAGTTAATTCATTTCATTCCCAGTAGTTCTTGGTTCACACCCATGAAATATTTACTAAAATAAAACCAATAACAGTAAATAAATCTAATATTACATCTGACATTCCTGCAGCAACTGTCCTACCATGATCAAACTACTCAACAGTGTTATTGATATTCAGAAATCTTATGCTGGCCCACTATAAAAGTTCATCATTATTTGCTTACAACCAGTTCATATTTATGAGCACAATAAGCTTGAAGTATGTAACAAATGCAACACCACAGCTTTTATCAACCAAGCTTTGGCAAGAGTTAGCAAGCTGGCAACAGCGCTGTGGTCACACAAATGACAAGATTCCCATGGCAAAGTCCTCCATTTGGGCAGTAAATCACAGTTTGCATAGCACAAGCATATGGTTTACAACCTAGGCTCACTGTTGTTTTTAAACAGAATGCATCTAAAGAATAAGGAAATACTTACATAGTTGGCTGCACTGTTTCTTTGATTTTTCTATATGCTAGTAAGGATGCAGATCCTACTGTCTGTATAATTAAAGAGACAAACAAAGAAAGCTGCAGGCTTCTGAGAGAGGGTAGCTGCTTGGAGTAGGTGTTGGAGTGACAGTATGGGGATAAAGCATATGAAAAAAAAAAAAACAACTTTGGCTATTATGGGAGGTCCATCCCTCTTTGCACTGTGACATTTTGTCTGGCTCAGAGCCAACCAGGTAGAATTGTTCCATCCTTGGGCTGGAGAATGTGTGAAACACAAATGGAATTAATTTACATCTCGACAATAGTCCTAATTGTGTGTCAGCATGAGACCAGAATTATAATTCATTTTCAGAATGCAGGAGACTAAGAATCAATATAGAGCTCAAAACATCTAGAAGGTGCAAAGTAGAGAAAGGACCCCGGCTGTTTAGGGGAGAGAATAACACTCAAATTACCATTAAAACAAATAATTCTCCATTAATAGTTGGAACCGTTTTCATTTATTATGACTCTCAGATTAAAAAGGCCTAAATGGAACAAACCAAAGGGAATAAACCTGAGGAAGGATCCCAATGCCTAAGGATAAGGTCACATCGACAACAACTAAGTGCTAGAATTTGGGAGATGTGATTTCACATGAATCCTCACGAACTTGAAAATTCACTCAAAATCACACCACAGAGTCGTGCTTTGAGTTGAATACATCCATCAGAACTTTATTTCCTTTGGCCCCTCCAGGATTAATGTCATTACAAGAGTGACAAGTATTTTTGTTTTCATGCCAATTGGGCTTGTATTCAATAGGCCCAAATGGTAAGTCTCTCTATCCTGAGAAACTTTGTCAAAAGCCAAAGACAGCCATTTGAAAACGCTTCATAGACACAGCACACACATGAATTAATGCTAAGACAAATAAATGTGAGCTTGTAGATGGAAATCAAATTGTGACTATGAATATAGAGCCAGACACTTGCTATGTACTGCTCTGAAAACAGACTTATGCTGGAAGTTGTCAGGCCACTCACAGAGCACAGAACTGGGAAAGCAAACTCTCAAGATGTTTGGATTCTTGAAAATTTGTCTAGATGATGAAAATTAAGATGGATATAAATTAAGCATCATAAAGGAATCAGAGGTAATGGCCAAGTTAAAACAAAACTTAATAGCTTCTGCATTCCAAGCTAGTTCATAAGACACAACCTTGACTTGAATCAAGGTTTAATGGTGCTAGCATAGTCACCCAAAGTCACAGTGTTCTAGGTCTTGGCTTCACACCATTATAATATCAAAGTGATATTTTGAGAGCTTTGAGGTGAGCAGTACATTGCCATATTTGCTGAAGCATGAGAAGAATATGAATCCACCACAATGTGGAGAATGTATGAAGTGCAATGGCTTATTTCTACATTCATGCAAATATATATTTTTCTATATTGAAGATGTAGCTTCATATCAGTAAACAAGGGGGTGGTGTGTATATCTTGTATGAGGTCATAGCCACAAGAACTTTACAAGGATGTCGTTTAATTAGTGTCAGCTCACCTGTGTGTGGGAGAAACAGGTAGAAAAGTGAGTTATACCAGTGAAGATTTCTATTCCTCCAGAGACGCAGCTTCCCTGGGCTATGCACACTGAGGGATGCTCTCCCATGCTATGGAAAACTGGTCATTGTGGGTGGGTGCCGTCAGACATAACATAACCTTTGCATCAACATAACCTTTGCAAATCATTGTTTTTCTATCATGAGCTACAGAAATTCCAAGAGCTTTTAGAAATCTTTGGCATTTTCTGTTGAGGATGGGGACAGCATAGGCCAGAAGACATTCTCACATGTTCATGAACACTGCTATGAAAGCTCATACTGAAACATATGGTTTCTCTCAATCCATTTACATTTCCTACATTGGCATTGATTGTCCCCTCATGATAGTGACATGGAGATATCAAACATGAGCTACAGAGCCAGGTAGTACCTGATGCAAATATCTATCTACAAAGGTGGCTTGGAAATCACAATAGTCTTTTATTTCACACAAAAGTATTTTCTTCTATCAAAAAAAAAGCCACAAGCTGAGCTTCATGTATATTTAAAAGATTATATTTTATGTCATAAAAAACTAAGTTACAAAAGGTATTTCATAAATAGTTGTTTCAGAGCATTACATATATGATAGAAGTTTATTTCTCGTGTTTAAAATAATCATTTATCTATGTGAAAAACCTGTGTTCTCCACATAGGAACAGTTTCATGCAAAGAGACTTAAAAGAAGGTAGATAGACTATGCTGTTTTTCTTAATATGAAGTGAAATAAAAAAAATGTAGCGTTGCCATTCTGTGAGTTAATGATTGACTATGGCAGCTCTTAATAGTTAACAGCTTCTAAAACAACCTTCTCCTAATTGTCTGAAAGTTTGAGGGACAGGTATTATTTAAGAAAAAAGCATTTCATAAATCTGAGATTAAAAAGTCTTGGGGCTGAGCATGTAGTTCAGTAGCAGAGAGCTTGCCAGGTTTGTGTAAATCTCTCTCTCTCTCTCTCTCTCTCTCTCTCTCTCTCTCTCTCTCTCTCTCTCTCTCAGTACTTGTAAGACTTAGGTAGTGGGGTTATGATCTTGGAGACAGCCTGGCATATGTAGAGAATCCCAGGCCAGCTTTAACTACATATAAGATTCAATCTCAAAAATAAAGTGAAACAAATGCAGATAGCAGCACTGCTAACACTGGTTTTATGTTTTATAAATGCATGTTTCCCTTGCACTGTAGGCTGTGCAGTTCTCACTTTAGCACAATGAAATTGCTGGGCTGAACAGCACAGATTGTGTCTCTGGAAAAGATAATAGGGTGGGATATATTCTGACTCTAAACACGTAACTATAGTGGGAAATTTTATGATTCTTATTTTTTAATAGAATGGTTTTAGTGATAATATTTTAATCAAGAAAGGTGGCTATGTTTTGACATGCACTTGTTTCTAAAGCACTGCTCACTGGGTTCTGCTCTCAGAACTCGGGAGTGTCTGGGGGGTAGTGGTTAGTGGTGCAGGGAAGGCAGGGCCAGAAGAAACATGGGCTCACCTGTATTCTCCAAACGTTCCATCATCTTCCTTCATGGGTTGGATTTCTGGGTCTGCGTGAGCATCCTCCTTTTCTTTAACTAGAAGGTTTGAAGTGACATTATTATCCACTGATACTAAACTTCCTTTATCAGTGTTTTCAGGGGTGAGCTGAGACACAGAGGAAAGACAGTCTCTACATAAGTAGATATCGTGTAGCCACATGTCTAATGTGGCCATGAGTATGCTTTGATATTTACAACATCAGTGTTTATAAACATGAGCCACTCCAGTCTTTCTCTTAATAAAGAAATGATTTTTAAGTTTCTCATAGTTCTTCTATATTTTCCAGTCTATTTATTAGTGTATTGATGTTAACAAATGACTTTATAAGTGGGTTATTTTTTGGTGGTTAAAAACTTAATATTTTTAATCAAAGGATAAACGGTCAAGTAAATCAGATAGAAATTTATCATCCTTGCAGGGACCATAATGTAATGTCACATGGTTCTAGTATTCCATCTGCTGAAACTGTACATGCTGCCCCCTTCCCTTTGTCTCCTGAAAACTAGTTTTAGGTCCTACTTCAGTGTTCATAACCCTTTGGAGTCTAAGGAAGAAGGATTCTTTTGAAAATTGACTTGTGTATTTCTCATGTAGCTGATGACCCATGACAGTTCTCATAATATAAATAGGGATCAAAATGTTTTACTCAAGTAACTCAAATGTATGACTCTAAGAAGACATTCTGTTCCTACTCCTATCTCCACTATTCTTTTCAGTGTAGCAGATAACTCTGCAGCATTGGGAAGCATTTTGAATCCCTCTCACCTGGATATTTACCACCCTTGTTTCTTCTAATGAAGCAAACGATCAACAGAATTAAGATGAGGAGGGCAACAGCACACATTAGACCTATGAACCAGCCCTGGGTCGCAATATCCACTTGCCGGCTTGCCATTGCTGCAAAACAAAATCAATGGCATCAGTAGGAAAAGGTTAATGGCAAGGTGAGATCCATGCTGGTCTCTTCATTAAAAAACAATTGTCACAGTATGTATGAGCTTTTATGTGCTTTTCACAGGACCCCAAATTGGAATCTGCCAATCACCAATGAGAAATTACATAACTTTGAAAAACATTCACTGTGTAAAATATTGAAATAGTGAAATCTTAATGTTCATAAGATTAAGCGCTGCACCTTGATAAACACTGGATTCACACTTATTTTAACTATACACTCTCAGTAGAAATGCACTCGCAAACCAATTAAAATCTATTACTTGGGGGTTAAAATGGATATGAAGTATGATAAAAATATAAACCTGAATTTTAAACAAAAGAGAGTATATACATCTAACGGAGTACTTTCCCTTCAAAACAAACTACCTTGGGAGACTAAAGTGTCGTGGAAGGATGGAGCTATAATTTCAGTGTTTTGGAAATCTTTAAAAAAGGAAAAGAAAAGAAAATGACCCACACAAGAACACTAGGCACTGATGAACACCAGAGCTGTTATCTTACATGACACCTCAATTCTGAATGGAAATCGTGAGAATATCAAAGGTCCAGTATTTGTTATTATACAGGCTCTGTTACTCAAAGAATTTTAACATATATTTTGGTCAATTATTGGAATCCAAGTACAGTTTGAAGAGAAAATACTCATTTACATGTATACAGTCCTTTATGTCTCCATCTCTTCTGTTTGAGTAAACAGATGTGAAATTCTTTACTCAGCTACTCATAGTATGCAAAATTCCTATGAACAGTTCAGATATTATGAAAAAGTGGCAACCATGATGGACAAAGTGCAGCATCTGTTGCTATTCAGACACACCCATGAAGGTATGTTTGAATAAGTTTGCACAAATCTTTTATTAAAGACCTTTGCTTTTTCTTTTTAAGCCATAAACAACATAAAAGGGTTTCTTCCATATCCATATGCCTATATTGTGCCTTTAGTCTGAGTTTCATCACTGGGTTAGATGTGTATGATCTCGGATGCATAAATAAGCATATCCCAGGTTTCCCATATGTATTAAAAGAGGCATTTAATTGTGTCCCTTTTGCCACAGAAATTAAAATGGTTAAAATCAAATATGAAATAAAATGTAAAAAAAAGTATGGATATATGTTTAAGAAATAAAATGGAAATGGAAATATATCATTTGGAATATAAATTGGAGGCCAATAGCCTTTTTCAAATGGCCCCTTTGTGCCTCATTAGTTACAGGAGTTGTGAGCTGTATTGTAACCAGGCACAGCTCTGGCTTTCATACACATGTCACAGTGATGATGATGATGATGATGATAATGATGATGATGATGATGATGTCAGTGGGATGATGACAGCAGCTAACAAGTTGGACTATTCCTGAAGGCAGGCTCTCTTTTAATCCTCACAAAAATCTTTTGATATAGGCATTATGATAATCCCAAAGCAAGAGAGGTTGAGAAAAAGAGATTTTCCAAGAGTTGGAAGGGACCTGTGTCTATCTGTCCTGTCTAGATTCAGTTAGTGAACATGGTAATAAGCTATTTAACTGTCCTGATATAATGCATTACTGAAAACATGTCCAGACACCAAATCTATAAATGTCTGAACATGTCATAAACTGCTTTAGGGACATTCCATTCCAGAACAGTTAAATGATTTAAAAAATTCATTACATTCTCTTTGGCAAAATAGTTTTGCCAATTTGTACATTGCCTTTGCATGCTTTTATTCAAAACTGAGCCCCAAACCGGATGGCAAAAGTTATTTTGATAATTGTGGTCCTTGATTTTGGAATGCTTAGTGAATTATGGTGTTGTTACAAATAGTTTCAGCATTTGTATCTTTCATCAAATCAAATAAGACTGATGAGATAAAGATGCAAGATGTGTGAGTATTAGTGCTAACACTGTCTTCCACAAATGGAGACTTTCCTAACTGAATTGCTTCCCAGCATTTCTACTCAGTAGCTGTGAAAAACTGAGTGCTCCCTGGATATTTGGCCAAAGATGTCCATGTTAACTTTGAATGTTTGCTTCTGTATCAAAGAAAAAAGAATTTGGTATTTCTCCAATCTATTATTTAAGACTGGCTAATCACAAGTAAGCAGATGTATACATACATTCATTCATACATGCATACATAGATAGACAGAAACAGACATATACAGGTGAAACCTACATTTTTTTTTCCTTCCTGGGAAGAAGGGTTCGACTGTGAAGTAACTCCCATAGGCCCATGTGTGTGAATGCATGGTCCCCAGCTGGTGTTGCTCTTTTGGCAGATTGTCAAACCTTTGGAAGGTGAAGCCTTGCTGAAGCAAGTGGGTGAATGAAGATGAGTCTTGGAGTTTTATTTCCTGGTCCCCCAATCCTATCTGCCTGCATTCTGCTCTGTCTACATGTGAGCAAGCAGCCTCAGGCTCCTGCTGCAACAGCTACTTGTCACTCCCACCACCATGCTGTCCCCTCCATGATGAATTGGACTCTTAAACACTGACCAAAATAAATATGTCATTCTTAAGTTGTGGCTTGTCAGGTCACTGCAAAGAGAAATGTGACTGACATATGTAGATATTAGCTGGAAAGTGAAAGTGGATTTTCTTCTCATCTGGAATTTCTACAGTTAAATCATGATGGAATTATCCACAAGGTGAGAAATGAAACTAACACATCAACGGAGTACACAAATACAAAGTAAGGCAGAGGAGTGAGGCCTGCCTTAATGCCTAGAAGTTTCAGAACAGTTTGCTGTTCTTATTTTGCTTGTTGTGACATGGATGACATATGTGGCATGGTGGGAGATCTCTGAGGACAGTGTTTGTTGGCACTCCAAATCAGAGTGAGACATGTGATTACTATTTATGAAGAAGTCACAATGCATGGAAGGGACCTGTCCAGTTAAAACAGTTAGAAATGGAAAGAATGAGCTTGATAAGGCCTGAAGAATCAACAGAAAGGAGCTGAGCCCAAGAACAGATCTGTGTTAAACCCCTGATGGTGTAAGAGAGGGGTCCACAACTGAGGGGCTCACATATGAGGGAAGACAGAAGGGCAATATTAGGGAGAGATGGAGGCAGGAACAGAGCAGAGCACCATCCTCCCCACAGTCCTGCCGCTTTCTGTCTCAGTGTGCACTGCCTGGCACAGTCAACTGTGTCCTAGACACAGACTTCAAAGGTGGAGATAATGCCATGTACCAAGAACTCTAGAAGAAACGTTAAGCCGAGGTTCCTGGGATTGGCAAAGTGAAGAGAGAGGAGCAGCACATGGACAGAGTTAAAAAAAAAAAATTAGCCAAATGGTATTCTTCCTCACTGAGGGTTGATGCCCTAGGCTTCAAAACCTAGTCCTGGGAGGGAGCCAGAGCAGCCCATAAGTGTTTACATGGCTTGCATCCTATGGTCCTAAGGACAGAGCACTGTCCCCTGGGAGGACGGGGTTTGTTATTTGGGCCATTACTAGAACTGAATCAAAACTTGTTCTTTTTAGTTGTCAGTGAGCATGTAAAAGGTGACAATTACTGGCTCTTGCATCATCCTAACACCATCAGTGGCACACATCAATGTTCCATGTCCCGCTCTTTCCATTCACTCATCTTGAATAAAATTAGCACTTGCCACTGGGATGGTAAGCATCTCCCACTGAAGAAAATATCCTTTTTGTTCCTTCCTTCCTTCCCTTCCTTTCCTGCTTCCTTCCTTCCTTTCTTTAAGGAAACATATTTTGTCTTGCAAAAGCACAAACATGCTGCAAGCTGATTTTGAATGCAAATCCAATTTATCTGTAATTTGGGAGGACATGGAGTCCTTAGAGGCTTAGAAAAGCACCGTAAACATATGAAGGCTAATTGAATCCATTGTTTCTGAGACAACCTGTTCCTCTTGGGATATGAATCTGTGGCTTTGTACAGTGGGTGTGGTTAGTGCCTCTCTTTGGGACTGGGAGGCCAGACTTTTGGTCCCAGCTCTACCATACTACAATTGTGACTGGGACCAGTTCTTGAGCTCTGAAACTGGCATGTAGTGCAAGTGAGCAGTAAGTGCTCACTTTCGAGGGACTAGATGAGCATGAAATGAGGAAACCACTCATGTGTCGTTTGGGGGCTGCCTACAATTCTTATTCTAGCTGTATGTCTAGCTGTATGTATTTTGAAATTAACAGTTATCAGTAACAACAAGCAAAATTCTTACAGAGATAACTGAGTTGTTTAGAATCCCCTTTAATAATTAATTCCTTCCTTAGATTATGTTTGTAAATGGATATGAAAAGAAGGGACAGAATAATAGGATTTTTCTTAAAACATATTGATTTTAGCAGACGTATATTTAGAAAGCCTTATTTGATAGGTAACTTAATATTAACTTCGGTTTCTTTCTTTTTTAAAAAATTTTCCTGAGTAGTTTTAAGTAATAAGAAATGACTTTAAAAAAAAAAAGTCATGCTTTGTTAGTGAAACTACAATATTCCCATCTTGCCCTTGGTTTCTATAGGGGTAGGTATGTGATATCTCCTCAAGAATGTATGACATGACTGAACAGAAGATGAATGTATGAACCATAGGACGAACACACACCAAACAGCTCCTATTTCAATCTGAGTAAGGAGATTATTTTCTATATTGATAGCAAATATTTGTTATTATTATTATTTACACCTTACATGAAGGTTTCTTTTTAAAACTTTATTTTTATGCTAGTGAACTCTGATAACATTCAGAAAACTAAAAACACATACAACAGGCAACTTTTGCAATAAAAATATAATACCAGGCTTAAAGAATTTCTTTTGTACAAACTTAGTAACACTGTATTGATCATCTAACCAAATTGTGGGGTTCTGCTGGGTTATAGTCCATTTTAATATAAAGAATTCTGACTCTCTTAGATATAATTCCACCTGGAAAAGCATTTCAGAGATTAATGTCAATTTAATTCAGAGAAATTTTAAATACTAAAACTATTAAAAATTAAATTATTTAACTAATAAGTTAAAATGACATTTCAGTCTTTTAAAATGGTTTTGGTCAATAATGTAGTTGAAAGAGAATTTTCCCAATTTTATAATTCATTTAATAAAAGAAGCTAAATATAATTAAAATGTAAACTCCCAACCCAGCAGGGCCCCACAGAGATATCCACAGCCCTGTGAGCTGTACCCGTGCCAGCCTCTGACTAGAGTGTCTGCTGGCTTCTCCTTGTGAGCAGGAGCCAGAACTGGTGAAATGTGTGCCTCACCTGGGCCTGTCTCAAACACATCCTCTGAACTCACAAAACCAGAGGCCCCCTCAGCACCAACTCGAACTTTGTATGCCGTTCCTGGCATTAGACCCTTTAACCCAAAGAAGCTTCGAGAACCATTTACAATTGCTTTCCTCCATTCTTCTTTGCCTATGGAAATTTTGCAAAAAACAAAATAACAAAACAATAAAAACAAAAAATTTGAACATTTCAAGGGACCAGAAGTTACTTAATGTTTCAAGAAAAGAAAAGTATTTTTGAGGTAAAGATAAAATATCTAGGGTAATTAAAGGTAACATTTTAGATTATTACAGATCTAATTGTATCAAATAAGTCAGTTAAAATGGGGAGCCAAGTGAGAATGTCCTCAAAGAGACACCTATTGGACACTTAGCATGCACACAAATGCATATACCCCATCATGCTCTTTATTCTGTCTTATACAAAGGATACTGCCTCATCTACTCCTTGCCTCATGAAAGCCTCATGAAATTGGCTTTCTCCCAAGATGTTTGCATAAAGAACTATTACACATTAAGTGGCTTCAGTGAACTATAAGAATTGTTTGTAAAGATTCATTAGGTGAATCTTTTGATAAATTTAAATACCTTTATATGTATCCAAGTTACAGATTCAATATTTCTCAAGTATTGCTTTTCCTAAGGCATAGTTGTTTGCAAAAATATGTATTTGCTTGATAAAGGCCTCAATAGGACATTGACTGGTGTTCACCATTTTGTCAGACATTTGCGTAAACATTTACAGGCCATTCAGCCTGTGATTGCAGAGTACACTATGTTGAGGATGGGATGGATGGGTTTTTATGAATCCTTGAAAACTCATGGTGCCTGCACTGACCAGGAGACGTGGCTATGTGGGAACAGAGAGCTGACTTGGGAATACATAAAACACCAAGACAAAATGGATGTTTATACCATTTTGATTTTCTTGAATTTCTTGAAAAAAATTTGCTGGGTTAATTTTGGTAAAATAAATTCTTTCATACCAGTTTGATTTATACTACTAGAAATTCCAGATTGAAAAAAGAAAAAGTTGTCTTATATGTACTTAAAAGTTATTAGTTTTGTTTACATGTTGCATTTACAAAACCAATTTGAAGTGCTCTGATAAGCAAAATAACAACATGAGTGAGCTAATGTCCCTGACTGTTAGTAAGAGAGTATTAGTATTTATATATTAACTATGTGAGCTTATATTTCACAGTAACAGGAGTATTTGTATTCATACATTAACTATGTGGGCTTATAGTTCACAGTGATTTTACTATCATGACTCTGATTCTCTTGGTGGGATCAAGTTTTTATCGGTGAGGTCCATGGCAAATCCTAAATATTATTCTTAGTCTCCCAAAATGTGTCCCCCATATTGAAAGCAGGGTAATAAATCATGTCTTACTGCCTGCTACACCATATTCAACATAAAACTTCACATGCTCTGGTCCCTCATATTCCCAACTGATATTGGCATACGTCTCAGCAGCTGCCGCAGTTAGATTGCTGATCCTGGGGTTTACTGCTCGAACTAAATACACAACAGAAAAACAAAACAAACAAAACACACAAACAATCATATTGCAGCACCATACACACTGCCTGAAAAATCAAATAATCTGAAACTGTTCAAATAATATATTAGAATTAATTGTAAAAAATTTAGATTTCATGCATCTTCAGTTTTGATATAGTAAGATTACTAAAATATAATAATCACATTTAATGGCATATGGTGTTAAAGTTATGAGTTCTAGCACATGGGTTCTGAGTAAAGTAAACTGCTTCTCATTAGGTCCAATTCCAGTAAACATCACTGTCTTCACTTACAGATGAACAATGTGGATTAATGAAGAGTCCTGAGGACAGAAGGCATTAGAGTGTATCAGAGAGTCCAGGTTCCACAGGACTACTTTAAAATGGAAGTTTTCAAAGAATTTATGTTGGAAGGAAAAAGAATTATTCTTTAAAGTGATGACTTCAGCCTGTCATGAGTCACAGATAGAGTCTGAGTAGCTGAGAAACTTGTGTGTTAGAGGACATCAAATAGGTCTGGCATGCTGGAGGAACAAGGACAAATGGAGTGGCCAACTATGCTCTGCCAGAGGTAGAGAAGTAAAATGATCGGGAACTAGCTGACCTGAAACATCCCAGAAAGTGACTGTCTTGCCTGGTGTTGGTTACACAGCATTTCCTAACAATGTAACCGGCTTCTAAAATTCCAAATTATGGAGCCTACATGACGTTCTCCCTATGCTTACAACTGAGTAAAAAGCACATGTGAAGTAATTACAAGTGTTATTTGAATATCTGGAGGCTAAATCAGACCACTTCAATAGCTTCAACTAAAAGTTAGAACTATCTGAGCTAAAATGATCAGACTCTTTTCTCACTCCACAGAAAGATATGAGATAGGAAATCAGAAAGCACTGAGAAGTTTCCCCAGACTCTGAAATAAATTGAGATGTCTTCAAGTAGACATTTAAGATTTCAGTTTCTTCATGTTATATTATTTGGTCAGTTTTAAAATGGGATATTCTAATCTTCCTCTCCATTAGCTGCCTCTTGTTTCATTGTGTGTCTGATCTCAGCTTCCTCAAGGGTCTCCCCACCTACCACTTACCACAATAAACCTTGCTTGCTCTGAGGACATCTACTGGTGCTAATTAACACCATGCTAGCTTCCTGAACTAGAACACTTCTCTGTTAAAACTCAAGGACTCATGTCTGACTACAGGATTCAGAGCCACTAAGAGCTCTTCACCTTTGGCTGCCAACTGCTCCAGTCACAAGACAAAGGGTATCTCTTTTCACACAGTATCATGCTAGCTACCACCCTGCATCTTGTCTGCTTTCCAGTGCTGACCTTTATTCATGCTTCAGACCAAAATCTCAACCCTGACTTACAGGCCAGAGAAAACAGGCCTTCGAGACCCAGATCTATGGTATATTCTTTGTGAGGCCTTCCCCGACCCCCTCTCCCATCCTTCTGTTCATGTAGCATTTGGTTTACACTGCTGGTTTTTCATCTCCTCGCCACATTTTAAGCCTGTGAACGGCAGAGTCTTGCTTTACTTTCTTGATGCACAGTAAAAAGTTGTGCTGTCTGTGCCAAGGAAATATCTTTGCCTATTACAATGAGTGCTCAAACACATTTGTGGTTTTATTTATTTATTTTATTTATTTTTTGTTGTTATTTTTCAGGCCAAGTAAGGCAAAAATCATTTAGTAAGAGGGACCCAGAAATGGCTATTGACCTATGAAGCTTCTCTAACAGGTCCTGGGGTGATCATGGAGGCTGTTAATTAGACAGAGTGTAGACTCTTTCTTTACTGTTTCCTCCATATTCCTAATTACAAATCTGTTCTGGTGGCTCATGTCAAGAGCATCAGTGTCACAGTGTCATGCAGGAATACAGGTCTGCCAGCAGAGGGAAGCAGAGGAAAGCTTATAACCACCTTCCTCAGGTCTTATTTCATAGATAAACTTTCACAGTGTTAGCTCCCAGAGTCCCAGACCCTGAAACCAACTAAGGAGCCATAGAAAATGGGACAAGAACTGTCAAACAAGGTACTTTTATGTAAATATTGATGGTTTGAATCAGACAAGGGAATGGATCAAAATAAACTCCGGAAGATCCGGAACGTCTGTACTCAATTGTACTGAGAAGAAAGGAACATTGAGCATGTCAAACCACCAGGTTCAAACTCTGGTACCACTTGAGAAGTGATCATCTGGCCATTCTAATTCATCATCATTAGACTGAAAAAAAAATGCCTTTGAGGAAAAATTGAAAATTATGAATTACACTTGAGTTTAAATATCACTATGGTAGAATATCATAATTAAATAGTATATAACTATTGTGCTATTAAATATTGAAAATAAGGTCAGATTCACCATTTCCTTATTTGAATATTTATTATTCCTTTTGTTACCGGAGGACCATTAGATTTTACATTGAGGGCTTGATTTACTTTTGCTTAATTGTTAATGTAATTGTTAATACTACCTTTGTTTTTCTTTATATTCATTAATTGTCTACAGTTGAAAGATACAAGTTCTCAAACACCATTCTCCCAGCAAGTCTTTCAGACACAGAGGGCTGTCAGAACTGACGGAGAAAAGATGCCACCCACTGAACACCATTGGCTAGATAGCACTCAGGCAGGGAGATGAGCACTGGTGAAGAAGGGTTGAGTGAGACAGCTGAACAGCACATGCAGGATGCCTGGAACACTCACTTGTAGAGACTGGGTCCCAGATCAGTTGTAGGACACTGATGAATCAATGCTTAGAAGGATAGTGTGATGCTAATCGAGTGTGTGTACACAGTGTTGTCCAGGAGTGCACTCAGAAGGATAGTGTGTGCTGTAATGCTATAGAACATGCATACATAGCCTTGTCCAGGAGTGGGGCTGGGTCAGATGGCAATAGGAAGCCCAGCTGATCTATTTCTAGTAGGCTGTTTTCATCTAGTGTGACAATTCCTGATATGTGACATATGGAAGATCTGTGACAAATCTGCAGTTCTCATACCATCTCATCTAACCAAAATCATATTCTTACAATCTAAGATTAGGATTTGCACCAGGGATAAGTCTTGAGAAAAAAATTGGGAGAATTAAACATACGACTTTCTATTATAAAACTATGTAGAAATTAATTTCAAAGATATGATTGGCCCAGATCTTTTCCTTTTGGTTGTTCTGAGCATATTTTATTTTCTCGTTTTTACCCATGCTGCACTTCCCCACATTTTAACATTGCAAAGTTCACACAGGTATGAAGTCATGCAGATGAATTATTTTACCTTTGCCTGCACCTACATCAGGTGGAAGAATACCAGCTTAATGAAGGGAAACAGAAACAGGACACTATATAGTTAGATGTAACACACCCATGAGCATGTACAGCTATATAAAAAGCACTTATTAAAATTCTAAGGCATGCAAAAATTAAGCCTATTATATCAGGCACATGGGCAAAAAAAATTATTGCTTCCCCCACATTTCCAAATATTTAAATACAAACATTACTTAAGGTACATTATTCTAAGAAGGATTAGGATGTTTTGACCCATTTTGGGGTAGAAATTTGAAATTCATATGATATATAGAAGCTATGGAAGATACCCAACAAACAGACAATTCAGTCCTTAAGCAATTTTACAATTTAGAGACATGCAAAACCAGAAAATATTTCATAACACTTAAATACTTTTAGGATGCATTTTATTTTACATGTGTGAATGTTTTGCCTGCACATATGTATGTGCACTGTATGCATGCCTAGCTCCCACCAAGGTCAAAAAAGGGCATGGGATATCCGGGAACTGGATTTATGATGGTTATGAGACATCATGTGAGTGCTGGGAACTGAACCTGGGTACTTGGTAAGTCAAAAAAGGGCTCTTAACCACTGAGCTATATATTTAGCCTTATCTTATACTATTCTAAATCCTTCATTGAATCAAAATACTTTTGAATCACATTTGAAAATATTCAGTTTACTGGGAGTTTTTTTTTTGTTGTTGTTGTTGTTTTTTTTTTTTTTTTTTTTTTTGCCTACTCTGAAGATGGCATACCAGAATACATTTTCTTTTTTAAGAATAAAATAAGTGCAATACTTAATTGTTTTTAATTTCTTGCTAGAAACTCTTAATCAAAATTTAGATAAGCAAATTATTTCCAGAGAATCAGGATTAAACCAAGGTTTTATATAAGCACATATGTGTATGTATAGGCTAAAAAAGTTAAATTTTGAATTCAGGTGTGATAATTATTGTTATTTCTTATTTTCCTTTGATATTTTTAAAAAGACTTGTTTATTTATTTGCATGTGTGTCTGTTTGCATGAGTTCGTGTTAGCTATATGCATGGCAGGTACCTATGGAGGCTAGAAGAGAACTTCAGATCTGTAACACTTGTGAGCCACCACTATGTGAGCACTAGGAACTGAACTTGGGTCCTCTGCAAGAGCAGTAAGTGCTCTTAACCACTGAATCATCATCCTCCCTTCACCAGTATTTTAAGAAGTTTCATATAGGCTTGAAAAGTAAATGACCAAATAGCTGAACAAAATAACTGATTTTTCCCATACATTGGGATAAGAAATTACAAATGAGTGTGTTATTAGCTAAGATGGATATTTCATGGTAAGGAAAAAAAAAAAAAAAAAAAGAAGAGAAAGAACAAGTTCACAATGCCTTTTAATTCTTTGACATTTGTAATTATATGAATTTTATACATACCCATCTTACCTTCGTCCACAGTGGTTATTGCTTCTTCTGTTATCTGACTGCCCGATCCCACAGATGTTTGTGCATAAAAATAAAACTTGTACCGAGTGCTGAAATTTAAATTTTTTAGAGTCCAGCGTGTCTTGTTGGCAGGAATTTTTAAGTCTACCAGAGGGCCTAGCTCATGCGTGCTGTTAACTGCCAATGAAAAGTGACAAACAAATGCATTCCCTGTTAGTTGTCATAGGAATAATACTGTCCATAGTTTCAGCAAAACAACAAAAAAGTCATTTCCAGTTTACAAGCCTTTTATAATCATTTTCAGGCTGCAGCTAATACACTAATAACTATTTGAATTGTAAATTGTAACCTATAGTATAAAATAAACAACTGGAAATATTTTCTTTGTTGGCTTACAAACTAGGGGACTTCTATGGTTGGATTATAATAGCAGTGTTCATTGTGTCTTTGATGATGGAGTTCTATATTGATAATAACTCCCAACAATTCTCTTGACATCTCGTGGCTACAAAATTTCCTCTTCATTTTCTCTTGCCAGAAAATGGTCTCCTAACCTAACGATACACTTAGCAGTCTGCATTATTCTAAAGAGACCTTAATTTTCAATAACATGTACATCATTTTTTCTATACAGGTATGCACTGAAGCTCTTTCTGGAACAGTACTTGAAGGTATATACACCAGCAAATGAGCAGCCTGCATCTCACAACAACAGGGGTAACTTACTTGGCTGATATTTTAAGGTGTACTCAGTCAGGATGCCATTTGGGTGGCTTGGCGGGTCCCATTCCAAAGTGAGAGAATCCAGTGTAGGATTGACAATTTTCAAAGATGAGGGAGCACTAGGGACTTTTAATGAAAACAAATAGTCAACACAATTTTTAAAAAACATTCCAAAGTCAACACACTTGTCCTATTTATACAACTGATCCAAGTTTTGCTTTTCAGGTTGCTATTTGTCTCAGCTGGAAATACAGTGACACAAATCTGTGGCAGGAATGTATTTCTTTTCTTCTTCTATCTTCTTCTTTTTTTTTTTTTTTAAAAAAACTACTTCAATTTAAATTCATTAAAATCATCTTCTCAAAATACATAATGACTGTCTTTATGGGGACTCAATCTATTTTAAAGCCGACAGCACTTAACTCAGTGTGTAACAGAGAACTGGTTGCTAAGGGACACCATCCCTGCAGGCCTTTGAGAGGAAGCAGCTGTGTTCTGGCCCATTAAGGACTATTTCCCCCCAACAAACCAGGTGTCTCTACATAGTCCCAGAACCCTGCCTGATGGGCTTTGGGCCCAGGCCAAGTTGCCCAAGCTGAGCTGTGCTTATCCCAAGTGCTCACAGTTTTCCAGTATTGGAAAGTAAAATAGAAGAGGCCCATATGTTGGCTTACCCCTTCCCAGAATGGAGAAGGCTCAAGGGCTTCCAGTCTCCTAGGCAGAGGCTGGAAAATTATCAGAGGAAAACAGGCCTTCGCTTCTACTTCCATCTTTAAGAGGCTTGGAGCTGATCTCTACCAGGATGTTGCCTTCCTGTCATATTCCCTAGAAACCCTTTAATGACACTACTATCCCTCCTTCGCTCTAGCTGGAAACTGAAGAGTAAATTTGGAGTTCTTGCTTTTACCATCTCCTGGGATGCTAAATCTTGGCAACTCTGTCAACCATATTCATTCCTTCATCCTCTCTGCTTCTCTCCTCCGGTACTCTGCCGGGACTTACAATCATGACGGCCACAGGCTTCTAAATTCAACCTGATTTGTTCTTAACTTTTGGAAATCATAGGTCTCTTCTCTCTAGAAAACAGCATTGTGCTGTTTTGGGAGGTGTGTAGTGTTCCTCAAATGCCTCAACAGCTCCTGAAAGGACTACCACAATCTGCAGACTAAAAGCTTCTGGCCCACAAATTAGCATCCACGGCATCTAAGATCATGCATGATGTGGGTCCTCTCCCATTGCTGTATCTTTTTTCACACTCTGGCTATACATCTGCATTTGGTAGGAGGAGTGCTTTTTAATGCCTCTGTGACTTCAGACAAACCATTCTTTCCCCCTCCACTTCAATCTTTAATCCCATTGGTCTTTTCTATGCCACCTTGAACCATACAAAGGACCAGCATGGGGCCTCACTGATGAGAGATTAAAGTGCAAACAAGCCCTTCTGCCTCAGCATCTTGGTGGCTGGTACTGCAGGTACTACCAAACCCAATGCCAGACTTCTACCTTTCTAACTCAGTACAGCTTTATAAGGAGTCATGAAGGCTTGTGAGTTAACTCCAACTCATGGAAATGCCTTCCTTTTGGGGTAATTTCCTACATCTTTTCAGCACTCATACTTCCCAGTGGGAACTACTGAAGCTTAGAGACGTTTTTATTTGTTTGTTTTGGTTTCTTTGTTTGGTTTTTGAGACAGGGTTTCTCTGTGTATTATTGGCTGTGCTGGAACTCTCTTTGTAGACCAGGCTGGCCTTGTACTCACAGAGATCTACCTGCCTCTGTCTCTCAAGTGCTGGGATTAAAGGCATGGACCACTACACTAGACAAAGCTTAAAGAAGTTACAGAATGAAACTCAGTTCAGAAAGCTGATGACTCAAACACATTAACAATGTTTCATATTGCCTAAGTGAGAAGAAAAACTTCAAGGGAAAGAAGAAGGCATCTGCCTACAGCATTCTGTATTCTGTGTGTGGCCATCAGTCATTTATGAGTGACATTGTGTCAGCTTTGTTGTGTTGTGATTATTTATAATCATGAATATAGCTTCCAGAGAATTCTCTCAATGGTGGGTCTTCTGTAGTACAAAACTTTTCAGGATATGCCACATGCTACTTGATGCCAGAGACACACCCATTCCGTACCTCCCTCTGGAGTATGGAAGCCTCTGTCGGGGCTGGCTGGGCCCTCCCCTTTTCCATTGACCACTCGGACATTGAGAGTGTAGTGACTGTAAGGTTGCAGCCCTGGCAGCATGCCGTGAGTTTTGCTGCCCTGGAAGGTGAGGATCTTCTTCTCAATGTGGCGTCTGTTTCTTTTGGATGAGTCCTGAGCCTTCCAGTAGTAAATCTGAAGTGGCAAGAACCAACGTCAAGGACTCACAGAAAGCCAATATGATTCCTTATGCTTACAAAACCCAAGCACTGGCTTGGCCCAGCTGGTAAAAGTCCTTACTATGTCAACACCTGTCAACCTGAGTTAGATTCCTGGAATCCACATACAGGTAGGAGAAGAGAGCCAACTCCACAGGGATGTCTCATGACCTCCACATGTGCCCTGTTGCTTGTAAAACTCCCTTCTTACTCATGCTATGAATTTGTAGGAGTGCCTTGCATGGGTACACACACCCATACAATGTTTAAAAGCTGAACTGCTGTTTTCTCAGAAAAATATTTTGGTTCATATTACATGAGTATTAGTAAAACTGGGGGATACTGGTTCTTAGACAAGAGAGACAGACGCCCACAGATAGTGGGGGGGAAACTTCAGTATATATAGTGAATCTCTGCTTTGCTATTTCTTTGGAGGAATATAAAGGAAGTGAATGAAACAGAATGGGACTCACTTGGTTCTTTCAAATATGAGAAAAATGGCTAAAATGGAGATTTAAGTATTTAAGTATAAATGTTACTGTCCATTGCAGAGTTATACATATTTATTTAGCACATCACTTAATTTAATTCTCACCCAGATGAGGCTTTTTATTTATTTATTTATTTATTCATTCATTTATTTATTTATTTATTTATTTATTTGTGGTACTGCTGAGCTTATGGGTTACCAATGGATTCTTCCAAAGCTACAATGACCCTATACTGAAACTCTTGGGTTAGTGCATTTACTTTTAAATTGCAGGCATGGGGTTTGGAAAGATAGTGGTGCCTAACTTTGGTTAAAAGGCAAGAACATTGCCTATTACATTTTTTTTTTGAAGGCTTCTTAGGAACTTAAAAGCATTTTTCGAGATAAGTCAACATATGTCAAATCTGGCCAATATTAGGAATAAAAGAAAACAGTGCAGTACAAAAAGTATCCTCTAGGGGCCAGTGTCAAATCAAAGAAGGGATATAAATGTATGTGGGTTCTTTAACTGTATATGAGCAAAACATCTCTAGGAATCAGTCTGTGTCTTTGAAAATAAAGATGTTAATGTTCATAAGGATGCCTCAGTTATGGACTACAGACTCTTAAAGTGTACTTTATCCAACAATAGAGACTTTATCCAACAATAGAGACAGCACTAATAAATTTGTCCTGTGGCCTCCTAGTACTGGATTAGAGGTCAGCAGACAAATGTATTACTGCTGTCTATATAATTATAAAGCTCCGTGTAATTTGTTCTATTCTACTTCTCTACAAAACAGTTTGCCATATTTCACATGGACAGTTCAGTTGGCAGAATGTTCCAGAAAAGGTGGGAAAGATAGATAAAACATCATTTTCTCACCCTGGATAAATGAGAATTCTAGTCAACTGTAGCTGGGTTCTTTAGGTATGGGTGGAGGCATTGAACAAAGGCTCTCATGGATTCACAAGTCCATCAACAGATGGACACACAACAGCCACATAATTTCATCCTGAACTGGTGTGCATGGCAAGGGGCACCCACCATGGCGCTGCTACTAACTAACGCAAAGTGCTTCCCTTCACCTACCCGGTAGCCTTGTAAGTGTCCTCGGACACTCTTCAGAGGTACTGGGTCCCAGTGTACCTCTGCCAAGGTACTGTTCACTACATTGACACGCACGTTCCCAGGAGCCACCATCGGAACTAGGAACAAGTCAAGAAAGGGTGGTGCAATATTCTTTTTATTTAAATTAAAAACTATCTTATTTTACATACCAATACCAGTTCCCTCTCCCTCCCATCCCCCTAAGCCCCCCACCAACTCTCCCTCTCACCCTCCCTCATCCCCTCCCCAGGGAGGATGAGGTCTCCCATCGGGGTAGTCATCAAAGTCCATCACATCATTTGGGGCAGGGCCTAGCCCCCTCCCCCATGTATCTAGGCTGAGAGATTATCCCTCCTTAGGGAATGGGCACCCAAAGCTCAATCATGAACTATGGATAATACTGGCTCCACTGCCAGAGGTCCCATAGACTGCCCTGGCCTCCCAACTGACACCCATGTTCAGAGAGCCTAGTTTGGTCCTATGCTGGTTCCCCAGCCGTCAGATTGGGGTCGTATGCTCCCATTTGTTCAGGTCATAGCTGTTACTTTTTATTTCATGGAAAAATGTCACAACATTCAATAAGTTTGGCTTAAAACACACTCCATGCTATAGTATAGAGTCCTATACTATAGATTGGTGATGGTTTAAAGTAGACTTTTTAGAAATTCATTTATTTGACTCCATGAAAGCAACTTTTTGTTTAACATTGTGAACTTCTATTGTGGTTCTGGGTTTGGAATCCAAAGCCTTATACACATTAGGAAAGTGCTAGGCCACCAAGTCATTCTCCTGGTACTAAACCACTATCACAGAGTAGGCTGTACAAATGCAGACAAGTTAGCAAAATGATTGCTACTTCTCCTCCCTTGCTAGCCTAGGATCCTCTGAAATAGCCGTAGTTTGCACCTTGGTAGGCCTGTCCATCTGGGCAAGGCTAGAATGAAAGAGCAGGTGACACTTACGATCTTCTCCAGAGTGGCCCATAACTGCAGCTGGCTCCGGAGCAAACCCCACATCATTCAGAGCTTGAACCTTTATCAGGTATGGGACAAAGGTTGGTGTGCCAGAGACAATGTATTTGGATACATTGGCCACAACCACAGACGTCCATTCATCATCACCATCTTTCTGGCGCCAGCTCACTTTGTACTGGAGTCCAGGCCCATTCGATTCAAAACCATTCAAGGGCTATGAAAAAATTTCAAATAGAATGACTGTACAATCTTTTACCGGGATGGCAAATCCATTTCCTAGACTAAAGAAAATGAACGCCAAAACACTACAATTCAAACTATTAAATACTCATGTCTCCAGAGTTTGTTTGGAACCAAGCTTGCAAAATTTACAAATTTACAAAGTTGTAAATTGTAATTCCAAAGTAGTAAATGATATATAAGGCTTCTAAAGCTGACTTCATAGGTAAGTGTGGGTAAGCCTCACAACAGTTATTTAACTAGATTCACTTTTTATATTCCTGTTTGTGTCATTGCACATCATTGCCTCCCTGGAGATGGAAACTTATGAACTGCTTCTCTATTAAAAATGTGTGTCTGTCTGTTCTATCATATGTATATATATGCACATGCTTAGATCATTTTCCATATCCATAAAACACAGATGAAGTAAATAAGAATGATTATAAGAACAATTGACTACTTGGAATAGCTTGTTGCATCTCTTTGATGATGATGATGATGATAACAACATCTTTAAAGCATGTATTTGTGTCAGGAATTATGCTAAGTGCTTCACATACACCAGTTCCTTTAATCTTATATAGCTGAATTATTATTCCCACCATATAGATGACTAATAGACACATGGTAATTGGCTATAATTACCAAAGGTGAGATTTTTCAACTGTCCATTTTTGTTCCCAGAAATAAAACTTTTTAATTACTATGTAACACTGCCTCCTAAATAAAGATAAATGTTTTTTTCCACAATGGGTGAAAAAGAATATAAACACAGATATTATCCTAAAACAACATATTCTTCACTCTCTGTAAAAGATTGAGGCAAATGGGAGGCTTCCTGGCTTACCTTCCATGTAATCACCAAGTTGTCAGGCTCTGTTCCTAATCCTTCTACAGCTGTGGGATTTTGATCTGGTTCTAGAAATGAAGCCATCACACATGAGTAAGCTTTGATTCTGGGAGAAGTGGAAAACCCTCGGCTATGTCGGGTCCCTGTGTTGCAGCCTTACCTGCAGCTTTCGTCAGGTATTGCTCAGATACCTCACTGGGCACACTCCTCCCAATGCTGTTCTCTGCCATGACTCGGAAGGAGTAGTTCACATAGGGAGACAGTTTCAATTGTGCTGTGGTCTGTGTTCCAGAAACTTCAGCCTGCTGGTGCCATAGCCCTGCTTCATGCATTGCATCTTCATATTCAATGATGAATTCTGGCCACACATACCACACACCCAAGTCAATGAAGTCAGTCAACTTAAGGACAGTTTGCTAGAGATAATTTATGACAAGCAAGCATAACCAGACACAAGTGATCTTTTTTTTTTTTTTTCCAGGAAAAATCCTGTTATGGTTTTGTGAGCTCAGTACTTAAGGATGTGCAATATTTGTCATTCCCGTCCACTATGAGGATCTCAGCTTGTTAAAACTGTTTAGACCTTATCCATATGTTCTAATGGGAAGCTTAAATATATGAAAAGGTACTCAGTTACTGTCATAGAAAGAAGTAACTACAGAAAAAAAACACAGTTAAGGAGCTGTTTTTCATGAGGAAGATTGACAACAATCAAACCTTTAAGAGATTTTGTTGTGTGACACATTCTCAGATATCCTGGGAAATGTAAACCGATATACTTCTATGCAGGACAATAGAGAATATTTAGCAATTTTAAACATACACAGTCTTTGAAGAATTGTACTTATAGAAATTGATTTTGAACAAATGTGCGTACCCATGTGGTGTAAGGACACAAACAAAAGAATACACATTGCTGCAGTTGAAGCAAACTAGTTACAGACAAGCTAAATGCTTGCCAGTGGGCATATGTAACCAAATATGGTCCACACACATACTGTGTAATACTCTGCACCTGTTATAAATGAAGATGCTCTGTATGGACAAAAGTGGGACTTGTCAAAGTTAACACAGAAATGAGCAGAGTATAGAAGAGTACACATGGGTGCTATACCTGTTTAGCAGTAAAAAGACCTAATTTGGATAAACATGGATGTCCTGTCAGATGGTACACACTCATTAAGAGTGTATGTCTGAACTTGCAAACATAAGTGGGAGGAAGACACACTTTTCAGGGGATACAGTCTATGCTTTGAGAATCAACATTGTGGTGTGTCATGTTTTACCTCTATTAAAAAAAAACAGTATTAGGTATGTCATATCCTGCATGAAATTGGCTTGAGTGACGTAACATTTTCTACATGATGTTCCAATGTCTTATTGTAATAATCCATGCCTCTGCAAAGCATTTCTGAATGTATGTCAGTGCTGTGTTTTCTTCCACAAGTCAAAATTCACTTGGGAGGCACATCCTGTCCCACTGAATATTAGCCATCCTGGGGCTACAAGAAGTCTTAGGTGCAAAGTATAGCTAGCAAAGGCTTTGGATTTGCCACAAAAAGAAGCTACTAAAGTAAAATCCGCTGGGGCTGTCAATGAGCACCTATTTACTGAGGCTCAATGCTAACATAAACCAAAGGAACAAGTGGCAAGTGTCCATAGGCTCCTTACCCACCCCTGTGCACTTGTAGCTAGTCCATCTCCAGCATCAGGAAGCTGCTATTGAGCTACATCTTTTTGAGTGTCCTTCATTCGTTATGCCTCTGCTTTTTCCTTCTTACTGTTTTCATCTCACTATACTAAATATTATTTATTCCTCTAATTTTATTTCCAAACTTTCTTTTTATTAGGAAATATATTTTTTCTTTTCAATCTCTCACTGTTTGTTCCCTTTATAGTGCCATTTTCAACTTTTCCTCTTTTTCCTTTTTGTTAACCCAGCTTTATTTTCCTCCTTTCCATTCTTCCTCCCTTGACTTCATTCGTTTGCCATTTCCACTTTTACCCTATATTACTCTTCACAAAGCACATTGATTTTGTCATTTTTCTCTTTGCGGTGTGTTTTAATCGTTTATTTCCTGTTCTTTTGGATGTTGTTGCTACAGCAGTCTGTTTTATCCTCTCTGAATGGTAGTGGATGTTCAGTAAGATAATCCCCCATGTGAAACTAAAAGAGATACTTTGAGTCAACAGATGCACCTATCGCAACAGAGGAAGGTGCAATAAATCAACCTAGCTGCAACTTTGGAATGATCTGGAAGGGCAGGTGGTCTTCCTGAAGCCCATACTTGAAGGTGACAATGTATTACAGGCTCATGATTGATTATGCCTGCTCTCTTGAGTATCTCTATAGTTTTACAATCAAGTCTTGAAGCCTATTATATTCGGATTTGATAAATGTCTTTGTATCTGTATGCTTTGGTCTTTAATCTGATTTTATTCTTTTTGCCAATGTCATTAAAGTGAGGCACTAACATGTTGAATGTGTCATTTTGTAGCAAAGTACAATGGGGAAAATCACCTATGTTGGAAGTTAAGAACCTGCTGTATTCTAGCAGTTCTATCATAAACAAACTAGGTCTGTAATAGAGCACCAAGATCAGTTTCCCTGTGTTCAGTTTGGCCTTTCAGTACCTCCAAGAAGCAGCAGATCAAATGAATGACTCTCTACCTTGTCCATGCTGGGTAGTTTTATGTAAACTTGACACAGACAGAGTAAACACGTGGAGCCTCATTGGAAAAAAAAAAAATGCCTGTATGAAATGGGGCTGCAGGCAAGCTTGTAGAGCATTTTCTTAGTTAGTTATTGATGGGGAAGGGCCCATTGTGTGTGATGCCATCGCTGGATTGGTGGCCCTGGGTTCTATAACAAAGCAGGCAGAGCAAGCCATGAGGAGTAAGCAAGCAAGCAGCACCTCTTCATGGCCTCTGCATCAGCTCCTCTTTCCAGATTCCTGTCTTGCTTGAATTCCTGTCCTGGCTTCCTCCAATGATGAATAGTGATGTGGAAATGTAAGCCAAATAAACACTTTCCTCCCCAAGTTGCTGTTTCATTGCAGCAATATTAACACTAACTTGGACAGTGGAAGACATGTAAGGTATTTCTTAATGATCTTAAAAACAAGTCACAGTGTGTTTGCTTGACTTTTTCCGGAATTAATTAGTTGTGCCAGAAGCTATAACCAGGAACTGCCCCATCTCCCAAGAGCACCATACTTTGGTTTTAACAGCAGTGATGAAGAGAATGCCAGCAAATGCATTTTCAAGGAATTACAAAATTGTTACAGATACTGCTTCAGGAATGGTCATTAGGTTTACCAAGTATAAAGCAAAAACACCACATACTTGTAATGGGGCTATTGTTGTCATCGCCTGGGGTCCATGTCAGCTGAACACTTTTGTCAAGTTGATTGGTCAATTCTAAATCAAAGGGTGGATTTGGGACATCTGTGGAGAAAAAACACACACACACACACACACACACACACACACACACACACACACACACGATTAGCTGTCATTTTAAAAGGCAGTTTTGTTATTTACTTGTGATGCTATGCACAGAGGGACACCTTACAGACACATCAGTCTCATTGGTCAGTGAGCATGCAATGGAAAAGAAAACAGACACGGCTGAGGTTGCTGAGAGCACTGCACACCCAAGGCAACCCATCAGGGAGTTCTGTTTGCTTGCTTTTCCAGAGACACAAAACTATTGTTTGTCAAATCCGCTAAGGCAGAGCACAAGGGTCCTCAGCACGCCCAGTATGTGTCCTCTCATGAGCAGAAGGGAGCACAGGCAGAACTAACATCAAGCTCATTTCCAACAACACAAGGGAAACACAACAGTCAAGGCTCAGAGACAGATGCAGGCAAGTAGCATTCACAGTTCAGAGGATTTTCAGTGTCCTGAAGCTCAGTGAAAAAATCAGTCTGGAGGCTGCTGAGGACTGTTTTCAAGCTCCCCATGCACAGGCATGCTTGCTTTCAGCTGCCCTGCTAGAGCGGTGCTCTTGAGGGCTAACTCTCTTCCCGAGGCTTTTTAACCTTTTCTCCTGGAAGTGTGCCTGACATATAAATATATGGGCCTTCTTTTTCTCTCCACTAATGTACACAGAGGACAGGTTTTTATAAAAAGATGAGTAGTCCTTCTATGTAAAATCTGTCTGAGATTATGCCACAAAATTATGTTTGATATTTGTGTGCTAAATAAATATGAGTTTTCTAAAAAAAAAAATGTTTCTGGAGATAAATTCTGATTATTTTCCTGACTCAGAAAAATTACAAGGCATTGTTAGGTCTCTTCTTTTGTTCATTCCCTAGAGACTTTTCTTTTAACACAAAATGAGTAGGTTTCCTCATATGTAAACTCAGCTGTTTCTATACACCTATGTTTTTCCTGGGAGTACGCTGCTCAGAAATGGAATCTCAAAACAAAATAATATTCTTTTATGCTTATTATTAGTAGTGATGTTTTACATTTGCATATTGTGTGGGGGGGACACATACACATAGAAGGTGATGTATGCTAGGTGGCTGGCTAGTGATCTGCCAGGATCTGTCTGTCTCTGTCCCCCCCTGGCATTACTGGCATGTACTATAATGTTTTTGTTATGTATGGGTTTTGGGGATTTTAACTCATGTTATCTTGCTTTCACACCAAACACTTTTATCCACTAAGTTACTCCCCAGTTCTGAAACAAATCTCCGTATACAAATAAAACCCAATTTGAAGAATGATTCTAAGAAACACCTTTTCCATTTGGTAAAATATGGATGATATATTTTGATAAATGAATGTATTACCATACAAGGAAAAGGAAACTATCAAAGAGGGATTTTATAAGATGGAATAATTTTACAATAGAAAATAAAACTGGAAAAAAAAAAAATATATATATATATATATATAATATATATATATATATGGTTTTAAGAAATAATTGACTACAACAAATGGAATTCATGATAACCGACAGCCATTTTCCTTAAAGAAATGCAATGATATGACAGACAAGAGAAAATGAGAAAGTGATGTCTGCAAATGTGAAATGATTTAACAGAAGACAGAAAAAGAAGACTCATTAGTTTACCGTAAATGGGGGCTGGAGTTGGAGTAGGAGCTAGAAAGGACATTAATATAAAGGATTTTAATCAAAATTAGTAATGGAAACATAGAAGAAGACAAAAACAACTCAGTATTATTTTTTAATTAAGCTTTCTACCTCACTATGAGGTATGGCACTAACAAATGGGCAGTGACAAATTAGGGATACAAAACTCCCGATTCTGTATTAAAAGTTAATTTCCTTAATTTTCCTCTAAGTCTCACTTATACGAACATCCCCAATTGTGTCACAGTCTGTATATCTACACAGATTATATCTATATGGAAATATAAGGCATCCCTGAAAGACGACAAGCACCCACGCTTGTAGCTACGAAACTATAACAAACATTCAATATCTACAACTTTTTCCTTCTCCTAATACAGAGAAGCTGGCTATGTTGTATTTGTTCTTGCTCTTACCAACAACCCTGAGGACAGCGCTGGAGGAAACTCTGTCAAGTGTTGTGTTGGCTGTACACGTGTAGGTCCCACCATCATCATCAGTTACATCAGTTACCACCAGATGATCCTTGTCAATGGAGAATCTGTAAACACAAGTACAGTGGTTGAAATGACATCAAGACACAACTGACTGGTGCATGCCTTCCCGGCAGACAAGAGTCTCTGTAAACATGATAAAAGAGAAAAATAACGAATGTGGATGCCTTTGTATTTGGGGCATAGATGTTCAGCATTGAGACTTTGTGCTGATGGATTTCTCCTGCAATGAATACGAAATGACCATCTTCATCTCTTTTGATTAATTTTGGTTTGAAGTCTAACTTGTTAGATATTAGGATAGCCACACCTGCTTGCCTCTTGGGTCCATTTGATTGGAAGATCTTTTCCCAGCCCTTTACCCTGAGGTAATACCTATCTTTGAAGCTTAGATGTGTTTCTTGTATGTAGCAGAAGGATGGATTCTGTCTTCGTATCCATTCTGTTAGCCTGTGGCTTTTTATAGGCGAGTTAAGACCATTAATGTTGAGGGAGAGTAAGGCCCATTGATTGTTAATGCTTGTTTGTTTTAGATCTGTTGTTGGCAGTGGTATTTTGAACATATTTGTCCTGCTTTACCCTTGGGTTCTGGTGAAGTGGGATTATCTAACATTGATGCAAAAATACTAACAAAATACTGGCAAAGGGAATCCAAAAATATTTCACCAAGTAGGCTTCATCCCTAGGTTGCAGGGATGGTTTAACATATGAAAATCTATCAACGTGATCCACCATATAAACAAACTGAAAAAGAAAAACCACATGATCATCTCCCTAGATGCTGAAAAAAGCCTTCGACAAAATTCAACACCCTTTCATGATAAAGGTCTTGGAGAGATCAGGGATAACAGGAACGTACCTAAACATAATAAAAGCAATATACAGTAAACCAACAGCCAACATCAAACTGAATGGAGAGAAGCTTTAAGGCAATTCCTCTAAAATCAGGAACAAGACAAGGCTGCACTCTCACTCCATATCTCTTCAATATTGTACTTGAAGTTCCAGCTAAAGCTATAAGACAACAAAAGCAGATCAAGGGGATCCAAATTGGAAATGAAGAAGTCAAACTCTCTCAATTTTCAGATGATATGATAGTTTACATAAGCGACCCAAAAAACTCTACCAGGGAACTCCTACAGCTGATAAACACCTTCAGCAAACTAGCAGGATACAAGATAAACTCAAAAAAAATTCATTAGCCTTACTTTATTCAGATGACAAAGGGGCTGAGAAAGAAATCAAAGAAACATCACCCTTTACAATAGCCACAAACAGCATAAAGTATCTTGGGGTAATGCTTACCAAACAAGTGAAAGACATATATAAGAAGAACTTTGCATCTTTAAAGAAAGAAATTAAAGAAGATAGCAGAAAATGGAAAAATCTCCCAAGCTCTTGGGTAGGTAAGATAAACATAGTAAAAATGGCAATCTTGTAAAAAGCAATCTACAGATTCAAAGCAATCTCCATTAAAATCCCACCACAATTCTTCACTGACCTTGAAAGGATAATAATCAACTTTGAAAGGATAATAATCAACTTTATATGGAAAAACAAAAGACCCAGGATAGCCAAAACAACCCTGTACAATAAAAGAACTTCAGGAGGCATCACCATCCTTGACTTTAAGCTCTACTACAGAGCTATAGTCCTGAAAACAGCCTGGTATTGGCACAAAAATAAACAAGTAGATCAATGGAATTGAATCGAAAATCCTGATAATTACCCACACACTTACGAACACTTGATATTTGATAAAACAGCTAAAAGTATACAATGGGAGGAGGAAAGCATCTTCAACAAATGGTGCTGGCACAATTGGATGATGCAGATAGACTGCAGATAGACCCATGTCTATCGCCACACACAAAACTTAAGTCCAAATGGATCAAAGACCTGAAAATAAATCCAGCAACACTGAACCTCTTGGAAGAGAAAGTGGAAGGTACCCTTGAACAAATTTGCATAGGAGACCACTTCCTGAACATAACTCTAGTAGCACAGATACTGAGACCAACAATTAATAAATGGGACCTCCTCAAACTTGTAAGTGTCTGTAAGGCATAGGACACAGTGGACAAGACCAAACAGAAGCCCACAGACTGGGAAAAAAAATTCACCAATTCTACATCTGACAAAGGACTGATCTCTAAAATATACAAAGAACTCAAAAAACCAAATAACCCTATTAAAAAGTGGGGTAAGAACTGAACAGAGAATTCTCAATAGAGGAAATCAAAAAAAGCTGAAAGACACTTAAAAAAGTGCTCAACATCTTTAGCTATCAGGGAAGTGCAAATCAAAACAACCTTGAGATACCATCTCTCTCCTGCCAGAATGGCTAAAATTAGAAACACCAATGACAGCTTATGTTGGAGAGGATGTGGAGAAAGGGGAACACTCCTCCACTTCTGGTGGGAGTGCAAACTTGTACAGCCATTTTGGAGATCAGTATGGCATTTCCTCAGGAAAATGGGAATTTGTTTACCACAGGACCCTGCAATCCCCCTCTTAGGCATATACCCAAATGATCCACATCCATGCAACAAAGACATGTGTTCAACTATGTTAATAGCAGCATTATTTGTAATAGCAAGACCCTGGAAGCAACCTAGATGCCCCACACCAGAAGAATGGATAAAGAAGCTGTGGCACATCTACACAATGGAATACTACTCTGCTGAAAAAAACAATGGAATCTTGAAATCCACAGGCAAGTGGATGGAACTTGAAGAAACAATCATGAATGAGGTAACCCAGTCACAAAAAGAGGAACATAGTATGTATTCACTCATATATGGATTTTAGACCTAGAGCAAAGGATCACCAGCCTATAATTCACAATGCCAGAGGAACTAGGATACAAGGTGTATTCTAAGAGATTCATATAAGGTCCCTCACAGAAGGGGGAAGGGACAAGTCCCCGAAAGCACATGGGAAGTTGGGGTGGCAGCAAATGGAGAGGGAACTAGGAGAAAGAGAAGGGAAGGAGAGGAAAGGACATGCAATTAGGAAGATTGAGTCAGGGTAGGAATAGAAGACAGAAAAGAGAGAGAGAGAACATAAAAGAGGGAGCCATTATTGGTTTGAAGAGAAAACTGAACCTAAAGAATGTCTAGATACCTACAAGACTGACTCCAGCTAACAATTTGAGTAACAGTGGAAAGGCTACCATAAATGCCCTTCCCTGATAGATCAACAACTAACTTATCCACCATCATGGAGCCCTCATCTACTACCTGTTGGAAACAGAAGCAAACACCCATAACTGAACACTGAGTCGAACTAGAATCCAGATGCAGAGAGAGAGGACAAGACCAGGCTGCAGAAACACATAGAGACAGCTGACCTGAACAAGGAGGAGGTAACAAGCTCCCAGACTGATAGCTGGCAATCCAAAATGGGACTGACTCAGAACTCCAGAATATGGGTCTCAGCTAGAAGGACTGAGCAGTCTAAGGGACCTCAGACAGTGGATCCAGGATGTATTCCTGGTGCACAAAAGGACCTTGTGTACTCATCCCCCATGGAGGGATACACCCTTAACCTAGAGACAGGAGAGAAGTCCTTGTCCCTACTTCAAATGACTTGTCAAATTTACATGACCCCACCTGGATGGAATAGCCTTACATGTGGAGTGGGGAGGTGGGTTGGAGGAAGGGTGGGAAGGGTACATGTGATGGGGGAGAGAGAGTAAGATGGAGGGAGGGAAGGAGGGAGGGAGAGGGAACTGGGATCGATGTAAAATAAAAAAATAAATAAACTTAATAAGAAAAAAAAACACAATACATGATACCATGTTCCCCTTTTTTGGAAGAGAGAGAGAGAGAGAGAGAGAGAGAGAGAGAGAGAGAGAGAGAAGAGAGAATCCAGCAATTATAGTGATCCCTACATATCACTTTAGTAATTAATAAATCTGGAAAATGATATTAATTCAATAGTGCTCTGTCAGGCTTATGGAGTATTAGGAGACTCGGCAGCAACCCTCCTGGGGTGGGAGTAAAAATTACAGGATGTGCAATAAATATGTACAATTACTGCATGCTGATTGATTTCGTTTATTGATCAAAATTACTGCCTGCTTCCTGAGGTGAGATGATTGGTTCTATATTTACCCCCACTAGAGTGCTTCAGGCAGGCTCCTTTGGTTATTTTGTTCTGTTCAATTTTCCTCACAGTGCAGACTTATTTCTTTATTTATTTTTGTTCATTGCACACACACACACAGAGGGACACACACGTATGTATATATAATTTTTTTCTTATTTTACACATAGATCCCAGTTCCCTCTCCTTCCCTCCCTCCAATGACCCCCTCCTGTCCCCCACTCCCATCCCCTGGGCAGTCTAAGGGACTTCTGACAGTGGAACCAGGATGTATTACTGGTGCATGAAAGGAGTTTTGGAGCACATTCCCCATGGAAGGATGCTCCCTTAGCCTAGAGACAGGAGGGAAGGCCTAGACCCTACTCCAAATGACTTGACAGATTTTGATCATCCCTCCTGAAAGGCACCACCCTCCCTGTGGCGTGGGGGACAGATTTTTTTTAAGTTACTATTTGCTGCAGAAAGTTGTGTTGTTACTGTTTTTCCCACATGTATGAAGGCCCACTGCAGAAACTAAGTGAAAAGTGTTGGGATCTTTCTGGTCACTAGATCAGCAATCTCCACTAAGAGATTCTAGAAGTTATTTGCATCATGAAAGCAGGATTCATGTATGGTTCCATGGAGGCTGCATAAATTGTAATCTGTCTTCTATGTAATTTCCAGACAAACCTCAGTTGATCTAACACATATTCATTTCTTCATATTCTCTTCTCTTTACCACCTCAGATTTCACATAAAAAAATTGACTCAATAGAAACTTGTACTTTGGGCATATGGAGAGAAAGGCCAGAATGTTATTGTGTGGTCATTAGCAAGCAAGAGGCTACTGTTTAGTCATTCCAGGTTTAGGTCAGTTACAAGCAAACCATGGCAACCATCTCAATCAGAAAACAGCATTCCTAGCAGTGAGTATAATTTGTGTCCACACTAATGGCTAAAATCATGCATGCAACTGTCTTTACTAGGTCAAACTGAGAGCCTCAGGTAGAAAACACCACAATCTTCCTTCTATTCCAAGCCATAGGACTGAATATAACCCATTAAATGGTTTACTTGATTTTGATTTTCTTTTTCCTTCTGCAGGTGTTAAGTTAAACTTCTTTTTTTTAAGCAATTCAATATCCAAATTCAAAACTTGTACTCTTTAAATACTGGCAGAGTCAGGTTCATCCCTGATTATGGAGATCAGATATCTGCTTATTTGTAGAGTACAGATGGAAGCATCTGCTGAGGCTTTGCTATTCAAATTATACAACCATCAATGTTGTCCAAAATCTGGAGAGTTTTTTTCCATCCTGAATTTCACAGGAGATCAACACACAAAGACCAACATTCTCAAGCTCTTATTTCAAACACCCAATATCCTTTTAGTTCTAAGTATTTTACAGTAAAAGAAAAATGTTTATCTCACAATTTTGCAGACACTGAAAACATGGTGTCAGTAGCCCTTTGACATAGAGCATTCTGAGGAGAGAATGAAAAGGGAAGGAAAGCATCTGAGATACCTTTCGTCATTGGGCAGCTCTCCATTGTCCTTCAACCACAGGATGGTGGGGATTAAGGTGTGGTCATGTTTCACTTTGCATTCAAAGGACACTTTGCTGCCCCTCTGCACGACTGCATACTCAGGTTGCTTAATGATCCTGGTTGGATCTAAAATTCAAAGTTATTGTTATCCATTTCTGCAAAACTGGAGAATTTGCTCTGTGTTGTATAATACTTGAAAATGCTCATCAACTCTGTCTTACCTTTGATTTCCAAGTGAACTTCATTCTTTGCCATCCCTAATTTATTTCTTGCGACACATGTATATGTCCCTGTACTATCCTTTTGGGCCACGGGAATTTCTAATGTTCCATTATCATGTAAAACATAAATGTCTTCATGAAGAGCACTTCCTTTAGTTCCTTTAAACCTTTATTACAAAAGTTATCAGAGTGAGAATAAAATACAACAGAACGTGGTCTGCAGCAAGTGTCAAGCTCAAATACATTTGGAATGATTACAGAGATTAGATTTCGGTTTATTTGTAAAGTGGGGATGAAACCATTTGTTGAGATTTTACTTTTCAAGCTATAAAACCAAAGACATTGTCCAAAATCGGAAGTGTTTTCCACAAGCACACTTCTGATATGTCAGAGGGAATTGAAAAGAAAACATATAAAACAAGAGTATGCAGAAAATCAGTGGAGTTTGCAAAATTAGAACAACAAAATATAATGGGTTGCAATTTCTATGAGACACATAATTGAATAAAGACATTACTGATTTTATCCTTAAATAAATGATACAATAAGCAAAAATAAGATTACCTTTTATACTACAGACTACAGGATTATACAGTGAGTATTTAGCTGACAAAAACACGAAACTGACCCACAAGAATCACATATTCCAATGGAAGACACCCAAATCACAGGGCATTGGGAATATTTTCCTTCTGAATAGTGGTTGTCACTTCTGTAAAACCCTTGTGAAGCCATTGCACTACATTTTTCCATGAAGGGATTTATCAAAAAAAAAAAAAAAAAAACAACAACAACAAACAAACAAAAAAAACAAAAAAAAAACAAAAAACAAAAACAAACAAACAAAAAAAACCCAGCAGTGTATTAATTAATTATTGGGCATAACTTCTTCATGTACTGGTATACTGGATGACCTCACCCCATACCATGGGGCCCTGGTGTGAATAGTCAAATCTATTCCCATTCCCTATTATAAACTTAAAAATCTATCTCCCCCACAATTATCCTTTATGGAAGGACATATAGCCAGAAGAGAAGCCTTTAAATAGACCACATTCAGAGCCTCAAAGGACAGGCACTGAGAAGGAGGATACAGCATGCCTGCCGTCATGATAAGCAGGACTGGGTGCCCTCATTTCTCTAACAGCTGACTTAGGAGAGTACAACCTTAACTGTTCTACCATAACAAGCTATGTACTTACTTCCACTTTGGTTTTATTGATACAAGATCTTATTCTAGGAAATTAACTGTTTTTACCTTTACTCCTAGAGATACAGGCAAAAGCTATGGATCACTTATCCAGCCCCAGAGAAAAAAATTCCTTCTCACTCTGGCATCAATGGGAACAAGCACCCCAACACTTAGCCTAAGGCTGGAAGCCTCAGCCTCCAGAATTTACACTACATAACCACAGTTTTTCCCTTTGGTCTAGTCACCTTAGATGTAATATCTATAGTTTAATCAGCTAACATTTGGGGAAAATGCCAATGTGTGTCACATGCCACCCATTTTCCTTCCTCAGCTTAAGCCAGTTCCCAGCCACTATGAAAGCAAAAGCAGGTGCTAAGGAAGCACAGAGCTGTAGTGTCTCTTCCCTTTTTTCTACATTTGCTGATTACACACTTCTAACATAACTAACCACACTTGAAAACCCTGTTTTTCTCTTCTTACAAATCCATAATGATTTAAGCCTCTCCCTTAACTGATTCTCCCAGAATCTGCCAGGGACTCTCACAGGATTTCCCATCTGAGACATAAAGTGAGATAACAGGCACTGCTTTTTTATCCCTTATCAGTTTTCTTGGCCCTGAAAAAAAGCTTGCCTGTAACCTTGCTATGGCCGGAGAATTGTGAATTGTGTCCGAGTGGGTATATAAACTGGAAACCTTGTGAGATGGGAGAGATTTTTGGAAGAATAAAGAGACATGATGAGGAGAAGATGTGTATGAGCTGATTTGTTTCCTTCACCCTCAGATCCCTTTAGCTAATTCTTGAGCTTACTGTGCTGTACCTTCTTAATCCTGATAGATTAGGGGACTGGTATCCCAATAAACCTTGGTACTTTTATTATATTTTTTTCTCCCATTTTAAAGACAATTTAATTTCAAGGATCAGGGTTGTACTCTGAAAGTACGACTAGCAAATGTTCAGGTAATGTAAAGAAAACATGCATGTGATGTTATAGAAGAGGAGACAGATGAAAAGGGCCTAGCAAAGTGAGTCTGAGCTGTTAATCTCACCGCCTTCACTAGGAAATCTATGTGTTCATGTTTCTCTTCTCTGGAGTTCAGGCTGGAAAGACTTCTCTTTAATCCTAAACTTGCTGTCACTTCCATTCCAGTAGCTGATGATCAATACAGACCTATGTTAACTGTTCTTTATACATTCTCATCTTCCCCTGTCCTGTCTAGCTCTTCTAAAGCAAGCAAACTGGCAGCAACTGAAGGACTCCTACCAGGATTGGTAGGACTTGGATGGTCAAAGAGGAAGTGGGAGGATACAGGAGCTCTGCTGGGCTAATAAAGCACCAAGCATCAAGTTCTCTCTGAGCCCATACAATCTCTCCTCCAGTTCTCTGCTATTTTTAGATTTATTCTTTTCTTTTATGTAAATGGGAATTTTCCCCAGTTATATAAATGTGTATGGCATGCATGGCTGGTTCCCAGGGAGGTCACAAATGGGTATAGAATCCCCTGGGACTGGGGTTCCACAGAGTTGAGAGCCACACAGTGGGTTCTGGGAACTAAACATACATATGTCCTCTGTAAGAGCAGTAAGTGTTCTTAACCACAAAGCCAAATCTCCATCCCCGACCCTATGCTATTTTATTATCAAGAACATGTTTTCTAACCAGTTCTTCAGATACTTTTTACAAAGTTCTAGGCAATGTCCATGATTGTGAAATATAGCAGCCTTAAATAGTAAAAATAATTTCTATAAAGTTTTTTAGTTAATAGAGCATTCTGGTAGTATGCTTGTTACATGTGTGAAAGTACTTATTATACTCACAGAGTGGATAGTTAATAAATATTTGAGAAAGAACAAATAAATTTAATAACTAGTAATGTGATTGATTGTATATAGCATTTTTCCTGTTTTTGTTTGTTTGTTTTTCTTTGTTTTTTGTTGTTGTTGTTTTTGTATTTGTTTTTTTTTTGTTGTTGTTGTTTTGCTGAAACAAGGCATAGTTAGAATTATGTATCAAAAAAAGAAATAGAGCTACTACTTACCACTCAATGGTAGGCAGAGGAGACCCAAAGAAAGCACAATCTAACAAAGCAGGTCTGTTTGCAATGACTTGGTACAGTGTGTTTGCAGATGTGAGAATTCGAGGTGGTTCGGCTAAAACATTTTAAAAAGGTTTAGTAAATATTAGATACAACCTAGGCTTACAGTATATTTATCATGTTTTGTTTAAGGCCATTAAAGTTTATGGTAAAGTGCAACCAACATGATTTTTCCCATGTGTTCTGTACCTGTGACATCAGTAGTCACTTAACATAGAAGAAACACCTCCTACTTTTTAGGGTACTGAATGGACCCCCAAAGCACTTTGAGTAAGGCTGAAGCTGTTGGCTGGAACATCTTGCACCAGAATCGTTCTTGGTATTCTTCTTGATTTGCTAACACACATCTGTTAGGGAGGAATTGCACTTGTTTTCCACTGTGCTGTGAGTCAGTATATGAGCCCACTCCTTCCCCTCAATAAATGGCATTCAGCATTCCTGCATTCCTGTTGCAGGAATGACCTGCTGTCCTGTCTTTTAATTAAATCTCTAGGCCTTAGCCTGATTAGTGGAAAAAATTGCAGTCACTACTTCATGTTCAACACGTTATTCAGATGATTGTCAACTACTGATTAATTATCTGTGTTTCCTATGCTGTTTAATTGTGGATTCACTTATTTGTATCTCTTATGACATTGGGTATCTTACAATGAAAGAATGCAGTGTTTAATCATTTTATCCACAGCACGGTATCTGGCAGGAAAATATGTCATTGCTGAATGACTGACCAATTATCAGTCTAATGGGTAGGGATGTTTGGAACACCTGAAGAGGGCAAAGAAAAGCAGAGTGGGGAGTGTGGTTTCTGAAGAATAGCTGGAACTAAAAAGCCTTTTACAGCCAAGGAAGCAATAGCAAGAAAAATATATTTTCTCATGTATAACTGATGTAAGACTAATACACAAAATATATAAGAAACTCAAAGAGCTCAATACTCCCAGAAAACAAATTGGCTTTATCCTGGACAAAGGACCCAAATACACATTTCTCGAAAGAAGATGCACAAATGGCCAACAGAGATATGGGGGAAAAACAAACAAACAAACAAAAAAACGATCACAATCACTAATTATCAAGAGAAACACAAACTTCAAATACAAGAATGTGTCACTTGATACCTGAGGGAATGTCTGCTTTCAAAGAGACAAGTAAATGCTCTTTCAGCCTTAAAAAAGGGGTGGAGCTGGGGCTTGAGAGATGACTCAGCAGTTAAGAGAATATGCTGTTCTTTCAGAGGATGCAAGTTCAATTTGCAGCACCCATGTCAAAGGGCTCACATCTGCAGTAACTCTAGATTCAGAGGATAGGATGCCCCATTCTGACATCTTCAGACACCCCCACACAAATATGGCAGGCACATAGATACACAGACATAAACATAAATAAAAAAAACTAAAAAATGAGAAGATCCCATATTCGTGATACTGATGAATCTGAAAGACATTGGGTGAAACGAAACAAGCCAGACTCACAGTAACACATACTGTATTGATCTTATTAAAATGAAACCTAAAGCTGTCAAACAAATAGAAGTGAAGCATGAAAAGAAACTCAGAAGTTTCCTTAGGCTTGTTTGGGAAATGAACACATTATCTGAAAGAATTGAAATATAATTTTTCTACCATATGAACAATTCTTACAAAAAAGTTTTTAATGTAGATTTTGAGAATTTTATCCAATATGAGAGATGTAGTATTCACATAAGTCAACCATTTCACAATTCTTTGAGCCTACTTTTACATGTGAAACTGCATATCTGTGACTAGGGTAAAAGACAAGTATTATGATTAACCATTGATCTTTTTGTGTTGGAATCATGACACTGTTTTTGAACTTGTCAGTTTCTGTGGAGCTAAAGGAGAATGGCTCCACTGGCTCATATTTCAATGCTTGGTCTGCAGTTGGTAGAACTCTTTGGAAAGGATTAGGAGGCATGACTTTTTGGAGGCAGTGTGTCACTGGAGGCATTTTTTGATGTTTCAAAAGTCTACGCCATTCCAGTTATCTCTCTTTCCCTGCCTTATAGTTGTCTCAACATGTAAGCTCTCAGCTACTGCCCTAGCACCAGTCTACGCACCTACTGCTATGATTCCCACTGTGGTGGTCATGAATTTCACTACCTTCTGGAACTGTGAGCCTCAAATTAAACACATGCTGTCTTTGATAAGTTGCCTTAGACATGGTGCTTTGTCACAGCAATAGAACAATAACTAAAAAGTATGTAAGGATGGAGGAGTGGACACTCAAATGCAAGTGAACACTACTTTTATTTGAAAGGGTGAACAGCCTATTTCTGAGCAAAGAATCTGCCATATAAAAACTGTATGAAGGCCCTTAAGGCAAGACTTACATCTTATCTACCCTTGTATGTTCTTTTTAGCTTGAAACACTATGCAAAACAGGTAGCAAAGGCAATGCATTTTTGGTGCACAAGTAGAAAACAACAGCAGTCATTAATTTAACTTTCCATGTCATTAATAAAGGGAGGACTTACCCAGCACATTTACAAATGCATTTGCTAGTAAATATCCATATTCATTAGAGGCATTGCACTGATAAACCGCACTTGATCTTTCTTGAACACTTGAAAAAATAATGGTATCACCATCTATTTTTCTGCTGGGGTCATCCGGAGCAACTGTTCGGATGTAAAAATAGAAAATATGTGTTTTTGCTGCTTAAAATATATATATTAACGCGCAAAGATTGAGATCTTTATTACATGAAAGGGAAGGAAATACAGCCTGATCTAGATAAATACATCAGTAAGTGGAAAAGAATCCAACCAGAGTTTGCAAATGTGCAATGTTCACTCAGCCTTGAGTGGATGGATTTATCTTTAACAGTGCAGACTGCTTTGAGAGATGCAGAAAAGCAAGCCCAAGTTGGGCAAGAACAGCAAATTCAGGAAAACTATTGTCATGCTTATAAATAATCCAGCTATTTAAAATGAGGCAAGTTAATTATCCAAAGGAGAGAACAACAGCTTATCAACAAATGTAGAAATATGTTGGCCTGTTCAAACCTGCCTGCTTGAAATGAATAGGTGTGAAAATAAAGACATACATAGAGAACATGCTAGTCAGGAACAAGAGATATCCATTTTCCTGTTGTGCACACATGTGTGGCTGAAGGAGAAATCAGTTGTATAAAATTTCTCTCAAAGACCTTTTTTTAGCTAAATGCCTCAGGTACTTAGAACGTGTTATGACCAGGATTGATCCATGCTGAAGGTGAGTGAAACTGGCTGGGTAGTAGAGTATGTGAGGATTTTGTCCAAAGCAAGCAATGTGTGAGAGCAGTGCTGAGACACAGGAATGTCTTTTTCTGAACTAATCCCTAGACCGTGTCCCCACATTAGTTTAAGAAGCAGACGCCCACAGCTAAAGACTGAGCCGAACTCCTGGAATCCAGATGAACAGAGGGAGGAGTGATCAGAAAATGGGGTCAAGACCAGGCTACAGAAACCCACAGAGACCGGAACCACAGCTGACCTGAACAAGGCTGATAGCTTGGAAAGCAGCATTGGACCAACTCAGACCCCCTTCTCAGGTAAAAGGCCATGGGAGTGTAAGGAACCTCTGACAGTGGAACCAGAATGTGTCCCTGGTGCACAAAAGGACTTTGGGAACACATTTCCCATGGAGGGATACTCCCTAAACCTAGAGGCAGGAGGGAGGGCCTAGTCCCTACTCCAAATGACTTGACAGATGTTGTTGATCCCTCCAGGAAGGCATTACCCTCTCTGTGCAGTGGGTGTTGGGAGTGGGATGGGAGGGGGGATGGGGAACATGGGAAGTAGGGAGGGAGATGGAACTGGGATGGATATATAAAATAAAAAAATAATAAAAAAATAAAAAAGAGTACACTGTTTTATCATGCTGATCAAAATCAAAGTCAATAACGGTACCCCTCCCTCTGAAACTACAGTGGCAACCATAGGAGAACGTTGCTTCCATTCTATACACAGTTCTTTTTCTACGGTGGCCACAAAGGGGTTGTGTATCACTGTACTGAGACCCCATTGTCACTTTGAAATTAAAATATCTGGCTCACCTCTGGCTTATTAATTCACTTTAAAAAAAAATAAATAAATCCAGCTAGAGTTACTCTCCTTTTTTTTCCTCTCTCTTTGCATGCCCAAGCATTGTGCTAATTCATTCTGTAATCGTTTTTTTGTTACTGCTAACAATTGATGACAAATCTAGTATTTTGAAATAACAGAAAATTCACTACCTCTTGATTCTCCAGGTGGGAAGCCTGATGAGAATCCCACTGAGTTAAAGGCATTGTCCCAGGAAAGCCTTGCTCCTTCTTTGGGTTGCAGAGGAATTTATTTCTTTATTCCTTCTGCTTTTTGGAGAATTTCTAATTTCTTAGTCCATATTTTTTTTTTTTTTTTTTTTTTTTTTTTCCCCTAGTACCAAAGCCGTCAGCATCTTTTTTTTTTTTTTTTTGTTCATTCATTCTTCCATGATCATTTTTCTACCTGACCACAGCCAGGAGAGGAATAGCACCTTTGAGGGTTGATGTGATGAAACTGGGCCCCAAGCTCCAAATCAGGAAGCTCCTAACTACATGTTCAAAGTTCCCCTTTGCTCTACAAGATAACATATTCACAGGTTCTAAAGATTGGGATGCAAACATCTTTATGAGCCCTTATTTTAACTATTGCACACTCTGACTACTATTATACCTACAGGTACAATAGTCTTTTAGGTGTTCCAGATGAGGATAATCTAACAATGTACCATTTAAGTTGAACTATCAGACAAGTTCTTACTTTCCTAGGATTTTTAAAATTTCAACTTGTGAGCTAGTTCTCGGGAAGTAATTAATGCCCTTATTCCTGAGGAAGCATAATAGGTGATCTTACAAAATTAGTGTCCAAGAGTCTGGCAACAATCAATGTCTAAGGTGTGGAATCCTCTTAGGTACGTGGTAGTTCTGCTAGTGATAGGGTATGTCAAGATTCTTTGAATTGACTCCTTAGCTCACACCTGCAATTCTGATTAAAAGTTTTCAAAGTGCCTTAAGGAAAACATTCCTCTAAATGAATTACAAACAGGAGTCTTGATTCCTTCAATAGGGTATAGCAATAAATAAAAGCAGAGGACATAATTTATATTGTCCCAGAAAGTGAGCAACAGGTATAGCAGACATTAGGGAAGCCCATATTTCTTATCCTGGATCCCAAACCTTGTATCCCTGGGGCTTTCTGATGGACACACTTGAAGGGATGTCTATTTACTGCCTTAACAAGTCATGGTGGAACACAAAACAACACCCCTGGCCACTCTTCCTCTGTGGATTTTCCTAAGAAGATGGCCCTAGTACTTGGACATTCAGTGTTATGACTGTCCATGGAGCTTTTGGTGCCCAACATGTGCCTACTCTGACTGCACCTCTGAGGGTGTGCTCAGCAATGAAAAGCAGTAATGAGTAAGACACACTGGCAGAGCACAGTGCCTGAACCCTTAGCAGGGATAATAGACCATAGGATAAGACCTCCCCACATCTCTGAACATATGAAATCTTAAAATCATACCACCATGACCTGGTGAATAGTATAGAGCTCAGTTTTCCTGAGATGAAAATCATCTGGATGATTGTTGCACAAGAATGTGAATGTACTCAACATCATTTGACTGTGCATTCACAGGTTAAGTAGGCAAGCACTCAACACTGAGCTATATCCTTAACCCTAAGAGCGTAATTTTATGCTGTGTGTGTACTGTACCACAAGAACAACAATGAAACTTATACTACCATGAATATTGAGCTCAACTGACAAATTTGGGACACTTTTCCCAAGTGTTGATGCATAAACCACAAACAAAACATCCTGCAGTCATAGGTTTCATGTCTCTTCAGAGTTTGTCGTCTGACTATATATACCTCATTTGTACTAAATGGAGAGGTATTTCTGGCATAATATTTAAGAATAAAACAAACTTGGACTTGATGTTTGGGTGATGAGTAAGCAGCTTTCTCTTCATGAAGGTCTGCATTATGTTTTCTTTGAGCATTTATTCAAAAGAAACAAGTGATCCTGTAACTGCAGTGACATATGGTGGCTCAATTGGGACAAAATAGAGTCATTGCTACAGAGCCGTTGGAAACCTTTGGGTGCTGTGTGCTGGCTACTGGATGGGAATAATTCACCAACTTGCAAACTCAAATCATCTAAAGGAATAATAATCCATTTTTAGGAACAACTGACTTCATTCGCTGTAAATGAACACCAAAGAAAGAAATGTAAGAGTATATGTATCTGCACCTATAACTTTAAGCCCCAAGAGTAAAGTCTAAAAGGTGGGTGACAGCCTCAGAAAAATTTTAAGACATATAACTTTTGTGAAAGTAATGACAAAGATGGTAAATGTTTTCAATATTTGGAATATGAAAATAATGATAATAAATAGAAATTATGTCTTATAAGTACTGGGTACTGTCAATCTCTAAAATGTTTTTTTGTATCAATTGCATAATTTTACCTTTAGAATAATTGCATAATTTCCTTTTAGAACTTCATGAAATAGGCCCACCAACTTTCATATCTAAAATATAAAATCATAGACAAAAGTACTTAATAGTTTGTTTAATTTACATTAAATTCAAACTAATTTAATAGTTTGAAATTAATGTTCCAGTTTTCTGGTTTTAGTCAATTTTATAAATGTTTATTGGAGTATGAACAGTTGGGCATGATATACAGCCAAGCTTTGGCGAACAGCTGAATTTCCCTTCTCCTGCCAATAGAACCCTTTATCTCCAAGAGAAGGAGGAAGTTTTGACAGGATCTTGAGAAAATTCTAAGTTAAGTCTCCAGTCCTCTGTTTTCATGTGTTACTCAAGCACAATTTATAATGTGTCAAGAGGAGATCCACTCTTTCTTACTAAGTTACTTATCCCTTAGATCTGAGCTGAGCAAACCTTTTAACAAAGTGTGGGATTTTATATGTTCTAAAAAAAAAAAAGCAAGTAATATGCCTTCACACTGCCTCCTGGGACAGAAGCAAGCATTGTGGTGTTCAGGGTCTTGGCCTTGGGGACCACTAATAGGGATGGCACAGGGTCTGATGGGGAAGGTAAAGGGGAGAAGGAGGAATGGAGGGGCATTCGCTATCTAGGAGAGCCAGGAAATTCCCTTGCTTTTTGGTCCCAAGTTCAACTTCACACTCTCTCAAGTACTTCAGTGATGGGAGATGTCATTCTGGATAGACTGCGGCTAACACAGCTATGACTTTCATTTTAGCAATGTTGTTGACCAGATAAAAGACTTATGGCCAAAAAAAGATTTACAGTAAAGATAGATTCACATTAAGAAAAAGTGCTAAAGGTTTACAATGTGTTTAAAATATACTTAGGCTTGGGAGAGGAAAACAATAAAATGGTTTTAAAAAGACAAAGAGGAGCTGGGAGTGGTGGCACACGCCTTTAATCCCAGCACTCTGGAGACAGAGGCAAGCAGATCTCTGGGATTTTAAATTAAATCTGGTATGCAGAGTGAATTCCAAGACAAATAAGAGTTACACAATGAAACTGTGTCTCAAAAAATAAAAAAAAAAAGTAAAAGTAACAGAGTAATAAAAAAGCCACTAAAAATGGAAAACAGAAAAACTGTGGATACTATAT